GGAAAGAGAGATAAGTGATAACAATTGAATTTGATTAACCAATTTGAGGAACAAAATTTTTTTCATTCATTTCCATATCTTGACACTTTAATTTTGTTTTAGTACCAATTGATTCAAACTGAATATAAAAACATCGAATAAAAAATAATTTTTATTTAGAAGAGATTTGAGTGAATTTTGTATCAAAAATTGAGATAAAAGTATAGATTTTAAGAACGATTGAGGGCCTAAGTCTTCATTGCTTCATATAGGATTTGTATGTTTCACGACGTGGTCAATTTGTTTATAAGACATGCACCATTATGTGTATATATCATTGATTTGGTTAGTCTTTGCTGTTTAGCTGTTTAGCTCCTCGTAAAGATGTTTGATTTCAATGTATAGAAACCAAGGTTTTTTTTTTTTTGGTACAACGCAAAAGTTAACCGGAAACAAAAAGAGAATTAAAAGAAAAAAGCACCGAAAGCAAAGCCCTTCCTTTTGGCGCCTAGGGTTTTTGAAGAAAGGGCCGGGGGAGAGAGATGGGGGGAGCAGGATCGCCGGATTTCTTCTACAGAGAAGCTCAACGTCTCGGCTATGTCGCTCGTTCCGCTTTCAAGGCATGAACATCACTTCTTCTTCTTCTTCTTCTTTGATCGATTGTTCATGGCTTGAATTATTTTTCTCCTCTTCTGCAATCAACAGCTTCTTCAGATTCAGGAGCGGTACAAGCTCATCAAACCTGGTTCCTCTGTTCTTGACCTCGGTTGTGCCCCTGGCGCTTGGCTTCAGGTCTCTCTCTCTCTCTCGTTTTCTTCTGTTGCTTCCTTTGAATCCATTTGTGATCCCTTGAATCCCATGTTGTTTTTCCTCTTTGTAATGCAATACAGGTTGCTTGCCAAAGCTTAGGTCCAGTTAAAAATGGTGGCACTGTTGTTGGTATTGATATAAAGGTGAGATTCTGGTTTGTACCCACCGAAACGTTATGCCTTTTCTCCTCTCAACTTTACTTGCGGAGAGAAAGAGTTTTATGAATTTCCATTAAAAAGAACGTGCTCTTGAGTTTTGTAGGCGCATTTGTTTTACGTTGTGTGAATTTATGAGATTCTGTATTCAGAGCAGAAGGTGAAGGTTCCTCCACAACATTGTGATTCACGGGTGCAAACCCTTTGTGCCGATGTCTTGAGCCTACCCAGACAAAAGATTAGGGCATTCTCTCCTCAGGTAGCTTGATCAAACTTTTCTGTACATTCAAATTTTGACAGCTTGGGGTCAGTCATTCGTTCCGTCTTAATGCTGACTGACTGATGTATGATTACTGAATGTCGGAAGATCTGTTGTTTGGTCAGCAGCAACTGTCTGTCAGTCCTTAGATATATGAAAGCGTGTAGGAATATGGACAGTAGTTTTTTAAGAAGACGACAGAAGAAATAGGCCATCAGTGCAAAATTCGTAGCTTGCCCGGCCAGCTCCTGGTTTTTCTTTGTTCTTTGCCCCCATTCCCGGCTCTCCTTTATCCCGAAAACCATGGAAACTTCAGTATAGAGTTTGTCTTTGTCGAAATGGAACCATCATCATGTGCGGTTTTCTCGATTTGTTCGTTGTGCAGCAAAAAGGTTTTTCTGTAATTCTATCGGACATGTGCCCTCCGGTTTCTGGAATAACCACAAAAGACGCCGCCCTGTCGGCCGAACTGGGCATGCGAGCCATTGATTTAGCTGTCGGCCGAGCAGCAGCAATGTCTCAGCCACGAGACGACAATGACAGAGATGATGAAGGAGCATCAAACAGCTCAGCTTCAAGCCCTGAAACCGGCGGTGTACTTAAGCATGGAGGTCATCTTGTCATCAAGCTTCTGGAAAGCGAGGATGCTCAAGGTACGAGAATACTGAAAATCAGCTGCTGATGGGAAATGTTTCGTCTCCCTCTTACTTTGACATTTATTTCTTAATTTATTTTCTCAGATTTTACCCGAATCTGCAAGCCAATCTTTCGGAAGGCGTCATGGTTGCGGCCTAAAGCTACAAGATCTTCGTCACGAGAAATATACTTGATTTGCCAGGGATTGCAATCAGCAATAAAAAGCTGATTCATACACATGCAGTGCAAATGAATCTTGATTCTGTGTATCTACGATGATGGGCTCAATATGGGCCTATTTGTAAGGCCCATTAAGATTCGAATAAACATATTTAAAAAAACGCCCATCATGTAATGGGCCTTTTGTTTTCCAACCATCCCGTAGCAGCAGACAACTTTTGCCGATCTCGATTTACAGTATAAATTTCGTACCCTTCTCTCGTTTCTGTTTGGGGTTTAGGGTTTTTTTCTTTTTCTGTCCTCCGGCACTTCTCCTACTCCTACCAGTGGTTCAATCAAGGCACCATGACTGCTGAACAGAAGGAAGAGCTTGCGTCCAAACTGGAAGAACAGAAGATCGATGTAATTTTTTCAATTTCACGCCCTTGAATGGTCTGTTTTTTTTTTTTTGGGTTTTTAGCTGTTTCGTGTTGTTGCCTCGAGTCTGGAGTGATTGGACTGGTTTCGAATTCCTGGAAATGGTTCCGCGTGGATTTCGGTTGCTCGTTAGGACAGTCTTTCTGCTGTTCTGTTTGTGTATGTTGCGTAATGGAACTTCGAGGTTAGATCTGAATTGGAATTTTTTTTTTTTTAATCGAAATTCAGTTTTCCATTTGTGCCCTTTTTTTTTAACTCTTTAAGATTTTGGGTTTTTTGCATTGCGTCAGATTTGGATTCCTGGCTAGCATGATTATTTTGGCCTGATTTGTCTACTTTTGGTGCTATTTTGATTATTCAGTGATCATTTCTGTTTTTGTTGTCTCATTTTGATTGTTCTTTGCTTTTCTATAGCTCGATAAGCCTGAGGTCGAGGACGATGATGACATTGATGAGGATGACTCGGATGAAGACGAGGCAGAGGGTAAACTGTGTTCCCTGCTTGTGTTTTTCTTTTTGTTTTATGATTTTTGAAGTATTTCTGGTCATTGTTGTTTGCATCCGATAATTTTGTTGGTTTGGTTGAAATTTTTTATCCATGTGTTGTTTCTTCATTATTTGAATCAGTGTTCGATCTGTCCATTTTTCGCTTCATGCTGGTTTCTTTTTGCAAATCTTTTAGCTGTCAGTTCTGGCATTGTGAGTAGGCTTCAGTTTGGATTTGGACGCAGGTTTGTTGGGTTTCCTTTGTTTTATTATAGCACCCAGAAATAGTATCAATCATGTGACAGGTTTATGTGTGTAGATTTGTCAAGAGTGAGTTGTTTATTGCAATTTGGAAACTTGTTCCGAAAAGGATTCACTTTGGTGATATCTTGATGAAAGTACCCATTATAGAATGAAGAAGTAGACAGACATCATTCTAGTGAGTCATTTTGTTGAGTTTTGATTTCACCACGTTTGTATAACCAGAACAAGACGGAGAGGCGGGTGTTAGGTCAAAGCAAAGCAGAAGCGAGAAGAAGAGCCGAAAAGCAATGCTGAAGCTGGGGATGAAACCCATCCCAGGTGTTAGCCGTGTCACGGTGAAAAAGAGCAAGAATGTCAGTGCTCCTTTCGATATTCAATCTTCATCTCGTTTACCATTTCTCGTTTGTTTAAATGTACATAAAGTACACTGACAAGCATATATTTATTGAATTCTGGGGGACTGTTTTGGTATTGCAGATCTTGTTTGTCATATCAAAACCGGATGTGTTCAAGAGCCCAGCTTCAGACACATACGTGATCTTTGGCGAGGCAAAGATAGAGGATCTGAGCTCGCAGCTCCAGACACAAGCAGCTGAGCAGTTCAAGGCTCCGGACCTAAGCAACATGATCTCAAAGGGTGAGACATCGGCTGCTGCAGCGGCAGCTGTGGCTCAGGATGATGAAGAGGTCGACGAAGAGGGTGTTGACCTTAAGGACATCGAGTTGGTAATGACACAAGCAGGAGTGTCCAGACCGAGGGCCGTGAAGGCGCTCAAAGCCGCTGATGGAGACATAGTCTCTGCCATCATGGAGCTCACTACCTAAACCGAAATCTCCTCTACTCTTAAGACATGGTTTTCACTTCGCTTTATATATGCCAGGGATTTGTGGCCATAAAACGAGTCGAAAAGAATTTTGGTATCTTCTGTTTGAGTCATGTTTCTTGAAGTGGTTTTGTCTTTGTTGTATCCGTATAACAACAATAAGTTTGATGATTCTCACTTTGCTTTGATATGTTAAAAAGAGTTTTAATACCGAGTTTCTGTTTTTGTCCTAAAGATTCATGGGGCATGCAAACCTTGGAAGCATGTTTCTCCAAGTGTTGTTCACTTTCATTAGATCTCAACAGGCTCTTCATCACAGATGATCATGAAACATGATTGGACCTTGATCTTATCACAGATGATCAAAAATTTCACTTGACCTAAAACGAAACTCGGATCATTAGCTCGAACCATTCACTTGAGTGCAAAAATTAACAACTGCAGCCCCAAAGGATTCATTTGCATAAAATGTTCATCACAGAGAATGACTATCAATCCCGGAACTTGGTCAAGATTCAAACTCCTATCACCGACATAAAGAACAAGAGCCCTAATCCTCAACATCTTCTCTTGATCAGTCTAAATTCAAACCCATTTCACTCAACTAGAATGGCATATAGTTCCTCGGTCTACAACGGATACTTACCCGAACACTCTTCCAGATTTCACCAATCCCATAGATCCTTTCAGATGTAACTTGTATCACAATAACAAAAGAAAAGGGTATCAAACAAACCAACCTCCTGTCATCAACTGAAACAAAATGAGAGCCCTGACCGGATCAACTCAATTATGTATGTAATGTGTCTGCTATGAGTATAAACATGAATTGAATATAAAGAGCAATCATCAAAGTGTAAGCAGCGATAATCAATCTCTTGGAAGATGCTAATCAATCTTTAGACTATATAGTAAACATTATCACACAGAAACGGTCCGGAAAAATCGAAGATCAAGAGTGCAATCTAGCTGCTATGGAAGCAACCTGAGCCTCCATCTGAGCAGCCCTAACTTTGGTAGCGGTGGCACGGTGGAAGAACTGCTCCCTCGACAAAAACCTAATGTTCCTCAAGTACTGATCAAACGGAACCGCCCCATCTTGCAATGCCTTATCCCAGGAATACACAGTATCTTCAATGGCTAAGTCCAAAGCAGTACACTCTAGCATCTGTTTGGACAATGTGTCTACACATTCAAAGGCATTATCCACGTCCAGATCCACTAAATTCTTGGTCTTTCCTTCGTTCTCCCTAACCCATGAATCTAGAATATCTGTGTTCATAGAGATAACCTGCAATTGCTGCTCTAATGTCTCTTTCTCATCAATCATCTCCCTCAAGCCCTTGTTGATCTCTTCCTCTCTCCTCTTCAGCGAGGCCTGCAAGCTCAGAAGCCCCTCTGCTTCGGCCTCCTTCACCCTCCTCATCGCCGAGAGATCACCATGAACCATCTCCACGATCTTATTGATGGCATTCTTCTTGTAAATCCCCGCGGCATCATCCGTCTGCTGTTGCGACAGCGACGGCGGCGGGTGATGCTGGTGGTGAATATGCTGAACCCTTCCTCCACCGCCGTACGGTGTACATATGAGATCACCCTTGAAAGAGGAGCCAAGACCGTGAGCTCATTGCACCTGTAAGCCACTCTTCATTCCTTCTGAATGATTCTTGGTCTGTGTTTCAACATGATGCAGCTGTTACCTATTCTGTATGAATTCTGACGGTGTGATGAAAATATATTTCTGTTTCCGACAGTTTTGTACATAATACCAATCCAAATCCATGAATATTGTGTTGGTCGCAGGAAACATTGCGTGGAAAGATATAACGCGAAGCCGATGAATACGCCGAAGAAGGAGAGGGCGGAGGCTGGAGGCGGCGCTGGGCGTAAAGCGGAGGGTCACAAGAGAAAACGGCGCTGAGCTCGGAGACGAGATCGACAAGATTCGAACTAGGGTAAACCCAGTTCTGCAAATAGGGGACAGAGACGAGCCCAGATGGCGTGACGTGAGAGTGAGGACGCTTGATGATCATGTCGCGAGTGGGGTTCACGTAGGCGCAGGGAGGGTGACGAGGGTAAGATTCGAGGAGCCAGATGACGACGGGGATGTTGTAGGTGACGCCCTGGTACGGCATCGGGACCGTGCCGTCGGCTTGGAGGAGGTTGACGGAGCGGCCATCGTTGTGGGTAAACGTCGCAGTCTTGGGCTCGAGGGAAGGGTAAGAGGATACGAGGTTGAGGAGGTGTTGTCGGATCAACCACTTGGTGGGTTCGTCATAAGGTAAAGCGGAAGGGCCTCTCTGGGATAACACGGAGGATAGGAATTGCTGAATCTGCTGCGGATTCGGCGGATTTGACGGCGGTGGAACCATCGCCGGCGTCGGAGACGGATCGGAGGTGGGATTGGCAGAAGAAGAAATGAAGAAACAGACGGATTTCTTAGAAGGGGAGGTTTACGCGTGCGCCTACGAATTTCTTCAGAGATGTTTCCTTTGTTTGTTTTTTTTTCCTTTAAAAAATAGAGCTTTTTCTGTCGGTAAGAGCCGGGAAAAAAATCTTGTAGCGTAAAAATAAAGGATTAATCATGTTAATAATGGAATAATCTATTTGAATCTAATAATAATATATAATTATGTTTAAATATTTAAAATGTTCTAATAGATCTAAATACAATTTATTTATAATGTTAAATATATATTGATCACACTATATCATCATATTCACCTTTTACATATCAAATTCATTTGATAAAATTATTATAATTTTAACGTTATAACTAATATAATAATAACATAATAATCATGTGACCAAAGTATAATTTTAGTCGATCATCATAATTGAAGAATGGTATGAATTGACGTTAAAATAACAAGAGTATTTTTTATATAATACCAACTTATGCGGTGAAAGTACTAGACCTCCATATTATAAAAGTAATGACGGTAAAGTAAATAAGGGATTAGAGTTTTAGTAAATAGTAATTCCACAAATTAGAAGTCTTCTTTCCAACCCGGATGAAATTATCTTCTTCTTGCCCGTCATCACCACATATCAAAAAGAGGTGGTGGAAGTTTGGAACCATAAAGCGTGTGATGACATATCATGACAGTCCACTAGAAATACGCCACGTGTAAAATATTTGTTTCCAGCCCAATCTAATTGGCCGTCCAACAAGTATTTGTGAACGACAGTATTTTTATAACTGACAATCATATAATATTTTTTTTTATCTTTTGGAGGTCGTACGGGCGAACATTTCGGGGACTGGAGAAAGAAGACGCCGTCGGATCTAGTTTTCGTCGGTAATCCATGGAGTAGGAGGAGGAATTTCCGATCTGCTAATGGAATTTTCTCGATAGATGATTCGTTCCGTTCTCGATCGGATCAATCGGTTTCGTTTTCGCGTGAACTGCGAACAAAAATTCCCTCTCAGGGAACTCTTTTTTTTTGTTTCCCCCGTACGACGATTTCTGGTTTTTGCGTGATCGCGATCCGGAACCATGAGGAAGAAGCTCGATACTCGTTTCCCAGCGGTAGGTATTCTGTTCGAATTTAATATGTTTCTCTTGATTGATTGTTTACTCATTGAAGCAGCTTGTCTGAAATTGAGGTCCGTTTTCTCGCAAGGAACTCGATCTGTTGTTTCTGAACCACTTTTCTAACATTTGAGTTGCAAATTTTTAGTTCGTGTCGGAGGAATTCTAGATTATGTTTCTTAATGTGGAAACTGCTCCAGATTTAAGACCTAGCTTTTGATTTTCCCCTTGGGATCGTGACATGAATTCTGGTGGCATTTTTCGTTGAGATCCGCTATAGAACGCTGCATATAAACTGATGAATCCCTCAATTGGGGAGGAATCAATTCCGTGATGGCTTATTGTCTCTGGGTAGAACCTGAAATTCCCCTAATGCCCATTTCACTGAGTTGAAATTTTACTTTTTGAGCCATAAATTTTGGTGTTTCGATATTGAAGTGTGTGTTTCAATCTCTACATCATGTTCCGCTTGATGGTGGTTGCCATTGCCATTTGATGCCTAAGATGAGGAATTTACAGGCTCGTATTAAGAAGATAATGCAAGCTGACGAGGATGTCGGGAAGATAGCACTGGCAGTGCCCGTCTTAGTTTGTAAGTTTGAACGGATTTCATTAGTTGCATTCTAAAGATTTATCAGATTGTCTTCTGTTTTGGCTAAATCTCTTTGGACTAAATAATGCAGCAAAAGCGTTGGAATTGTTCTTGCAAGACCTCTGTGACCGTACATATGAGATCACCCTTGAAAGAGGAGCCAAGACCGTGAGCTCATTGCACCTGTAAGCCACTCTTCATTCCTTCTGAATGATTCTTGGTCTGTGTTTCAACATGATGCAGCTGTTACCTATTCTGTATGAATTCTGACGGTGTGATGAAAATATATTTCTGTTTCCGACAGTTTTGTACATAATACCAATCCAAATCCATGAATATTGTGTTGGTCGCAGGAAACATTGCGTGGAAAGATATAACGTGTTTGACTTCTTGCGGGAAGTTGTGAGTAAGGTGCCCGACTATGGCCATGGCCATGGACATGGACATGGCCACTCTGATGCAACCATGGATGAGCGCAACATCTCTAAGAGAAGGTTGGTTGGATCAATCTCCTCTGGCTCGCTCGTTGTTAACCCTTCATCACCTCAAGTGTAGCTGATTATTTTGGATTCTGTTATTTGATAGGAAGCCTGTTGGTGATGAAGACAGTGACGAGGAATTAAAGAAGAGCAGAATGGTTAGCTCTCGCTCTCTGTTCTCTCCTTTGTTATCTTCGGCGTTCTTTTATCTTTTGTCCACATCTGTTTATGTATAGCTTCGAATTCCGTTCTCTTCACGGCCCAAACTCGGTGAATCATATTCGGATTAGCGTATGACGAGATATCAAAATACTTGGGCGGCTCAAGTCCATATGTTCCAAACCCTCCGTGGGATACGGATAGATAGATCTTTATTGATAAAAGTGTTATATCGGATTCAATTCGATTTTATATCGGATTTAGTTCAAATCAATATACGAACCGAAATACTGAGGCTTGTGGATACTACTAAGGTCTGATCTATTAGTTTCGGGTTTTGATGACTGCAGCAAGAGATGGGGAATGCAGGGCCGAGCGGGAGAGGAAGAGGGCGAGGACGTGGAAGGGGACGTGGCCGAGGAGGCGGAAGAACAGCGGAAAGGGAGCATCCTCCCCATCTGAATCGCGAGATGGAAGTAGAACCTCCATCCCTCACCGCCGCTCCTCTTCCTCAAGAGGCTACCAGCATGATTCCCCCACCGTCGTCGCTACCATCACCACAAGCCATCAAGCAGGATGCTGTGGATGGCGTTGTGCCACCGCCGGCAGCAGAAGACGAGTCTTCTCAGCCGAACCCGCAGCTGCAAAGTCCGAACGAAACTAACACGGGCATTAGAACCTTCGACCTTAACTCTGTATCGGTAGATAACAACATCGAGCCAAAACCACAGACTGTGGCCACAGCCACCGAGATGAAACCCGAGGAGTATCCGGGTTGGTCCATCTCGGAGATGGGCAAAATCGACCCGATGCAGCTCGCTAGCATGGGGAAGAGATTAGATGAGGACGAGGAAGATTACGACGAAGAATGTTGAACAGACACTACTACTACTACATCGATGCTCGTCATTAGGATGACAATAGCGTTAGCTGCTCTTGACAAGTGATTCCGTAGGAAGGGGAAAAAAGAATGAAGCTCTTTCTAGCTGTTGTATTAGTTCTCATTCTTCTCTTTGTACTGTTTAATGGAAGAAATATTTCAAGGCTCCTAACTTATGATCAATTAAACATCAAACAGTGACTCCACGTTATTCTCCTTAGTTTTAATGTCACACATCAAACAGTGACTCCATGTTAGGTTTTATTACAAAGAGAGCAAAAGGAGAAACATTTACTCATGGAAGTAGAGGACGAAGATCCAAGAGAGTTCAGGAGTGGTCTTGCACCATGTGGTTCAGATGGAGAGAACCCTCAGGGTTCTTGTGGACTTCCACTCTGTATTTTTCCTCTTTCTCTCCTCTCTTCACTTTCAGAAGCATATTGAATTTAGAAACATTGTCCGTCACCTGCATCATCCACAATCATTAGCAGACGATTCAGGTGAATGGATGAAACTCGAATGTGAAACCAAAACACAGGTTAGGAAGGTGAAAGCGTTGTTACCAAAAACCTGTATACTGGTAAACTTCAATCTCAGTTTTAGCACTACTTCCATTTCTAAGTCAATACTCATTTTTCATTTGAAACGCCTAGGCCAAACTTAATTGGAAACTCTATTGAAACAGATTCAAAGGCATGAAACGACCCCATGATCATACATCGTGGACAAAGATGGTAACGTTCTAAGGATGGCAACAAGTACTGCGACTCAGAACTCATACCTCAGCATTAGCATGCACCACCTCTTGAAGCTCATAAGGAAACAAGGAGTTAGACCTCTGTTGGATGGTCTTGATAGCGTGATCAGCAACGTGCTGAACCTCAGGATCGTGCACAGGAACTGCCCTCCATCCAGATTCATGCCCATCTGATCAAAATTCATATCCAGATTCAGTCCTTTTATCTAGCCCACCAAAACCTCTATGTTCAGAACCATACATATCGTGCATCTATCCATCCACATTTTCAATCTGCGCCCCACAAGAAAGACAGATACTCCTAGTAAATCTGCATTCACCTTTCTTGCATCCAATATCAGACGAAGTGATTATAGGGGAATCACCGGCATGTTTGAACTCCTGCAACTCATTGAACTCCATCCATGGCTTCACCCAGACTTTAGCTTCGTAAAGCTTCTTTTTACCAGCATCGATGACCTCCAGAGTCAGATGATGCAGAATGCCTGCAACTACCTGCTCTTCCGCTTTCACCACCCTCGCAAACTCAAGAAGTGCATTCTACGAGGAAAAAACGATCAACCCGCATCATCATCATCCCAAAATCTAATTATCCCCAAATCGCAATAAAACATATCACCTCCTTCAACGTTCAAGCCATGGAAACTAAACCCTGACTACGAAAACGAAACCTAATCCAAATCCAGGAAACACCATTTTACCATAGGGGTCACGAGAGGATAATTACTCTGTAACAGCGATTCAGATCCAATAACCAAGCATAAGCACAAATAAACAAGGAAAAATTCAAAAATAGAAAGAGAAACCGAGAAACGGAACCTCCTTCTTGTTGTGCTCATCAACAGCGAAACGAGCGAGGCTCTCGACCTCGCCGCTGTTCTGGCTACCGGAAGAATACGGAGCGCCGTCGAGAGTAGACATGTCGTCGTCGCTGCAAAAGCCTAAATCAGCGGAGATGGCAGAGGAAACGGAGAAGACGATCAGAGAGAAAAGGAAGAAGAAACGAAATCTCATCTGAGACTTTTTTTTTATAGTTTGTATAGATTCTTCGTTTTTTGTTGAAAGTAGAAAATTGAAAATACGCAGTGAAATTACGGTTATAAGACAGCGTCATAAGAGCTTCAAGAAGACAACACGTCACATGCCACGTGTTTGTCACCGTCGCAATGTTCTATTTTACTGATACATATATACATATATATTTATTCTTATCTTAGACTGCAAGGAAAGAGAACTCCATTTCTTAACCGAGGGATCTCGAATTTGAATCTCTCAAATTACGATGTCATAAACCAATAATCGAATCCAAATTATTCAGAGACCGAATTTCGGGTACAGATGCCCACAGATTATCGAGACGAGATGCAGGCAAGAAAAAGAGGATGAAAGAAAACATAGGAGGACGAGGCGAGGAAAGAAACTGTACCCGAAGAGAGAGAAGTGACGAAACACCTAGATCCGAATCGAGCGACGAGAGAATGAGATTCGAAGCGAGATTTTGTTACACACAAAAAAAAATCCACAAATTACCAGTAATTCTTCTCTGAATTTGTTGGATTAAAAATTAAATTCCATAATTTTAGCATAAATTGTTCCTCCTGCATATTATCGTTTCTACTTCAACTACAAACATAATATATATTTCCTCAATTGAAAAAAAAAACTGCGAACATAGACTACAAGTCTTCAAACATAGAGCGCACACAGTATACAAAACATTGGAGCATAATACAGTTCATAGAGTTTTAGAGAGGTCCCCCCAAAAAAAACTTGATGAACAATCAACAGAGAAGGACACTCCAAAACCCTTTGAAAAAAAAAAAAAACCCCACACCAAAACAGGGGAAGAGCCCCCATTAAAAAAACATAGAGAATATGAAAAGATGTGTACGTGGTAAGCTCAAGCACTGTCGGGGGTGTAAGAGATACACCAAAACATGAGCTCAAAAACTTCCACTAACTATATGGCTTTAGCATTTTACTACACATACCTCTGATTTGTTGTTGTTGACGTCTATCTTTTAGTTGGTCCTGGGCACGAGGGCGATCTCTGGATTCTGCGGGAGGCGAATAACGTAGTTATCACCTGCTTGTGATGGCTCTTGCTTCTGCTTTGAGCCCGGCTGACTCTTTATCTGCCAGTTTGGTTCATTAAAGAACGACGGCTATGAGGTCTGATATCGTTGTTTCCAAGTAAAGGATGTCATATTCATAAAGCAATATCGCGCAAGTTTGGTTTAGAATGACAAAACTTGCGGGTTTGGATCTAACCTCGTAGTGCTCGAGCAGTGATGCCAATAAGCTAGCGACTCCCTGTATCACAAACTTCTCGCCCAGACAGGAACGCAGGCCCCCACCGAAGGAAAGTAATGTTATGTCCTCCTTTGGATCCTTCAACACGAATTTCGCGGGACTCGTCTCTCCCTCATCTTTCTGGGAACCTGAAAAACAAAAATAGGGTCGATGATTAGACAAAATTTCAATATTCGAAATATACCTCATACTTGTTTACTTTAGGGTTATAATAGGAAGAGTGAAAACCTGTGAGCGATGAGTCGTGGACCGTGTCAGATGCTTGGGAGAGAAATCGATAGGGATTGAATTTAGTAGCGTCACATCCCCAAATAGAAGGATCTGTCTGCACCAATTGTACGGGCACAACGACTATGGCTCCAGCAGGTATTGTTGTTCCATTCTTTAGGCATAGATCTTCAAACACAGCAAGAGAAAAGGAAAAAGATAAGTGTCAGGTATAGGAATTTGAATAAGCAATTAAGAACAGTGTCAAGTAGCTGCAAGACAACACTAAAACTGGAGCAGCTATGTATAGTTATCAAAGGGGGAAAACCTAATCACAAGCATGGATTTCATGGAGATGCTAGTGTAGTAGGAAACAAAATCTTTTGAACGATAACAAAAGAAAGAGCATTGCAATTTTAAACTCACCATGCTTCAGACATCTCTGTAGCAGAGGTCTTGCTGGCTGAAGACGAGCAGATTCATAGATAGTTGCCAGCAGCAAATGCATATGATGAACATCATGTTCATCTTGTTTTGTCGAGGCCTTACGTAAGGCAACCATCTCTGAATAGAGCTGCAGACATTCAGGACAATGGCTACTTATAAGCTTTCTCTCAGACATAATAACTCGAAAAATGCAATCTTTGGACACGCATACAGAAGCTACCCTTGAAACTGAATATCATAGACATATGCTTATACATCGCTGAGTGTACATGCATTTCACAGTGACCAATTGTTTGTAAAAGCTACCAGATCAAGTGGATGGGCATGTCATCAGCAATAAAAGTTATAAGGGATACTTAATACCATGAGCAGAACACTCTAGCCTTCATTTTGAGCACGGGACAAGAACAATGAAGCGAACTCGTTTTACTGATTCTAATAATGGTCAACACAAATATGCCATGTCAATGTGAGAGCTTCCTTCATTTTGCATTACCATCTATGTTAAGACATTATAGTACTAAAAACCTAAAGTAACAAAGTTACAAGGGTATACGAAACATACTTCATTTTGTATCTCTGGGTGAGCGACAAGACTTGCCAAGACATTCCCAATCAGATCTGCAGTTGTAAAGAAACCATGAAACATTACAGTGGTAATATTTCCATATAGCTCCTCTCTTGGATCCGGATGGCCATTAAACTGCTTGGAGGAACCATAATCTAGCACAGAACCAGAAAAAGATAGTCCAGTAGTTTGGTTAGGAACACCATGGTAGTGCTCCACTTCACTACCGTCAGGCTTATCATGTGACCTCTCGTCTGCCGAAGATGGAAGCATGCAGCACATTCTGCATCGCTGAAGAATGTCATTAGTTAAGCATTTATATGTTGTACACAACTTCCGATACCTCCAAAATTCCCGATTCCAGATTGGAGTAATGCGATATGAAGTGCAAAAACGAGAACCCTCGACAATCTTCAACAGCATATCCTTATAAATGGTTGCCTTATTCCACCCCAAGAATGCTTCCCCATACAGCAAACTCCCCAGTAAGGTAAAGGCCATATGCTGAGCGACCACGTTGCAATCGAGGCCTCCTCCTGCCAGGTTCATTTGTCCAATGATAGACCCCAAGAGCTTGCTGGGTAAACCATTTGCTATTTCAAGAGACCTCCGATCGAACTCCGCTGTTAACAACTGTCTTCTTTCCTGTAACTGCAGGACAAAACAGAGGCATCTAATGGTTTATGGAACAAAAGCACTAGAAGTAGGGTATCATTACGTCGTTTACAGATAATAAATTTCCTTCTCATGCCACAGCCAAAATTCTTGAGCAGTTACGAAGAAAATACCAGAGATGGTGCAACTAGTAGAAGGCTTTATCATAATAAAAATTATAGACTTCCAAATGTTGGCAAGATAAAAAGAAAACATTGCACATAATCACAAGAAAAAGCTTGCAGGAAAGAAAATAATAATGTAATCTACCTCGTCAAACGAAGATGCGAATAGGCATGAGCGGCCAAATGCCATTCGGAGAACTTTTCGACCCACCGGTAGTTTATCTTCAGCCTTTAAGAGCACTTGTTTGATCAGTTCTGGATCTTTTATGGAAACCAAAAGCGAAGCAGGACTTAGCCACAGCTTAACAATTGATCCATATTTCTCGTGCGTATTGGATATTACATCTGCAAAAATTGGTATGATAGAACTGTGAGCACAATGATAGAGGACTCTAATTTTTTTTCTTAGAAGCCAAACCTGGATTTCCCTCAAATTCTATTAATGGATTCGCACAACTCTAGATCTAATATGAAGAACCATTTCTTTTATCTTCTTGCAAACGATTCAGAATCAAAATTAACCATCAACACGAAAAAACCTACCCAGATAAATTCTTCTTCGATTGCCTTATCCGCAATGAAACAAGAAACATAATTCTCGCAAGCTGAAATCCAGAATTCTGGATGCTAATCCGAGAAATTCAACATCATAAGCTAGTTCTGAGAAATTAGCTTCAGAAACATAGCACAAAACTGGAAATTGTTCTTGTTTCGCTTCTTTGCATAATCTAACAGATGAATCCATAGGTTACTACAACGAACCAGCAACAAAGAGATGCCTCACCGGTGAGATTCGCGCCGGAGAGAAGCGCGCTATGACCGGAAAAACCATCGCACGGCGGACCTGTAAGCTTCCTCGCCTGAAACCAGAGCTTGAAGAGCTCGAAAACCCTAACGAAGAGGACATACGTGACAACGAAGAGCGAGATCCAGCAGAAGGCGTTGAATTCCCATACGGCGTAGTACCTGAGGAAACGAGAGCTTTCCTCTGGCCAAAAGCCGTATGTCTCTGCCGGGAATCTCGCCGGAGAAGTTAGAATACCGACCCTCGGGTTCATTTCCTCCGCTCCGATTCTGATCGGCGCATGGAAGGGTGAGAGAGAGAGAGAGTGAAACGAAACTGTGGGCAAAGGCGTGTCGGATACCGTCTCGTCGTCTTGACTTTTTTGTCTTCGAACTTGTCAAATAGCGAAAAGAAAAAAAATATATCAGCAAAATTATATATATAAAAAAAAAGTATAAAACGACGACTCCTTGAAAAATGTTATTCCGTATTGGCAGAGTGCGATGACATATATATTTTGAATTTTAGCTAGATATTTTTATATATCTACAATATTATAAATATATATATATAAAACGACGAATCCTTGAAAAATGTAATTTTGTATTGGGAGTGCGATGACATATATTTTGAATTTTAGCTATATATTTTTATTTGTTTTTAAGATTTTCTAACAATTGTATTTATCTTTGTATAATCGTATATTCTATGTAATAGAAATACGTGATATTTTAGAGATAAATATTTATTTCAATAAAAAAAATTATATTTTTATTCGTTTCATTATTATATTTATACTAAATCAGATTTTAAATTTGAATTATATTGATTTAATTCAAATAAAATTCATCAAATAAGAAATGAGATTGCAAGTGACCAGGGGCATGGCGGTCGCCAGCTGTTGCATAGGCTCGTCGTTAGAATTAGAAATGAGTCACGGATTTGTACGTCTCTTTATGTATGGGTACAAGTAGATATGCGTGTGTATATATATGTACGTATGTAAAACGATTATTAAGAAAATGGAAGACATTTTTAAAAAAATTGTACTTGATAATTTAATTATAAATTTTGAGCATAGACTTTGATATACTCAAACATCTATCCGAATGGACGCTTAAAATGACAGGATCTAAGGCCTAGTTGAAATGCAATATATAACTGTAATTACTGTATAACCTTTTTGTAATATATATATATATATATATACATAGGGTTAGTCCTATAAAACTTTCCAGAACTTGTGTGACGCTCAAAAATTAATTCCTAAATTTTTAAATTTTTATAAAAATTATCCAATTTTTTAAATTTGTATACGTATATATATTATGTATATATATGTGCATATATATAAAATAAAATTTTACAGTTAAAATGATTAAAAATAAAAATTAAATATTCTTAAAAAACAAAGAAATTTAATAAGAAAAAAAAACCTAAAGATAGTCCCTATCTAAATTCAACATAAAAAAATAAATATAAAACAAAGATATACAATATAATTTAAAAAAAAAAACAGACCGCAAAGATCAAACATATCATATAAATAAATTTTGCGCGGATAAACCCAAACCGGGTTTTATGTGATATAAATTGGCGCCCTTTTCTTCGATTCCAATAGTTCTTGGCGTTGGTGTCTAGGGTTTCGCCATTCCCAAATCCTCGAGGTGAATTCGTCTTATCCATTCCCAGATCTCCGAGGTAAATCTCGTCTCCTTCTCTATCTCTCTCTTATAATGGATCTTCTTATACTCTTATATCGACGTTTAATGACAAGTTCGTCACCTCGTACTGCTGAGTTATGGGTTCGTCCCTGATTCAGCTAGCTGTCCGAATTCTTACACAGTAGTAGATGATTTTATGTATAATGGTAGCTTTGTTTAGGAGTTTTTAATGGTTTCCTTGTATATTCCTCACAATGAAAGCAAGCTTATGATGTGAAGGCCATGGTAATGATCGTTTAGGCGCTCGTTTTCGACAATGGCTTCCATGAGGACAGACACGAACCTTAGTCCCGCAAGTTGCTCAAAGGGAAACTGTTGCGCACTGTGGTCAGGTGAGCTCGCGAAAACTGATGTAGATGATGCAGTTGAGCTCTCTGTTGCTGCCTCTGAAGCTCTAGTTATACATGAGTTAGTCAAGAGCGATCAGTTAGAGGCAGTGTATATACTGGAAGCTGCTCTGCGAATGAGTAAATCACGCCTCGAGAGTGTTTGTTGTACAATGGATTACCTGGAGGAAGTGGTTGATCAGAGTGATTCCTTTTCTGACTTTGATGATTCTGTAATGTTGGAAGCTTTTCAAGATGTCGGTTTATCGAGTAGCATTCATGATGGTGAGCCGCAATGTCATGTAAGTGTGTGTGAAGGTAGAAATTGTTTACAGTCGGAAAGCTGTGATGATACTGGTGGGAATGGACAGGATTCCGATGATAATTTTGTACAAGATGACAACGGCAAGTTTTCTTCTGGTAAGATGAGTACCTGTTCAGAAGGAGTAAAGGATCCTGCATTGTATGAAGCATCTGAGGAGATCTCAGAATTCACTCCACCAAATAAGGTAAAAGACTCGGACCTGTTTTCGGCTCATGTGATCGATATTTACTTTGAAACACCATGGCTCCATTAATTTGACAACAAATTGGGATTTGGGTGTATAGCTGTAGTTATACCTGGTGGTAACATTGGTTTTGTTTTTGATGCAAACTGCAGGACAATGCTGATCGTCTAGTTGGGCAGGGTGTCATGTCTAAACCTTTGGTTCGCGAAACTAGTTTATTGTCAGAATCAGAAGATATCCCCATAGATAAATGCTCGCTTGTGGAGAAACATGGAGCTTGTTGTGGATTAGCATCACAGTCCAGCGTACACTTCGATAGGTTTTGTGAGAGAGCTGATGAAGTGGATTCAAGCATTCATGACGAGGGATCATATAATCTATCCCCCATTGATCAACTTTGCTCTGTTGTACCGTGCAGCATTCCACAAGAAAATGGAGTTCCATTTCTTGCACTAGGTCAGAATACGATAGGCATACCTGAAACTTGCTTTGGCTCCATAGAAAATCACAATAAGGAGCATTTGCCTAGGTTTTCAGGTGCTGAGATTCGGTCTTATAAACTTCATGGGCAAGCTGTGGCGTCATTTTTAAATGGTTATGCACAATCCTCAACTCAAATGAACTCAGCTTGGATGAAGAACTACATCAGACCTGCTCTCAAAGGTAGAGCAGTTACCCATGCGGAGCCTGAAAACTTGCCAAGCTTATTGCCTAAGCAACCTATGTTGGTACATCATACAGCAGCAGGAGAAAATGAAAACCAGAAGAACCACAATGAAAAACCCGAGCTGCTCGTGGGAAAAGAAAATCTTGATGCATATCATCCGAAACGTCTTCAAAACGTACAATCAGAATGTGAAGATCTCTGTGATATGCAAGCCCCAGCAAGGAAAAGGGTGCGTTTCTCAGAATTTGAGGTCAAGCAGCACCAGGAGAAGGTATCCCAAGAGCAACAAGGTACCTTTTGATTTGTTTCTGCAAGTATTGTCTTTCTCTTATAAGAAAGCCTTGACATCTATTTTATGCTTCCTCAGGTTTTACAGCTTCCAGAAGTAAAAGAACAAAATACTCCATTGCATATGTTCTGGAAAAACACTTATCATCACCCGGAAAATACCACAGAAGATCTGTGTTTCAGGGCCTGGAATTCCTCCTAACGGGTTTTCCAAATGGCAAGCAGAAAAAGATTGAGCAACTCATACATAAACACGGTGGTATAGTTCTGCAGGATATCCCCTCTCATTCAAGTTCTAAACAGAGAAGGCATTCAAAAGCTAGTTTCCGATTGCTTCCCGTTATTTTATGTCTGAAGAAGGTTGGTTTTGCAGCATATATAAGAACAAGTTATCAGAGAAAATTACAAACTTGCTTTTCATGGATTACATTGCCTTAAACAGACAAATAACTCTTTCTGGAATCTGGATATACATGTTCCATGTCTGATGGAAGGCCTTTCTCATTTTGTTTCAGCTACAAACTACCAAATTCTTGTATGGCTGTGCAGTGAAGACGTTGATACTTCAACCCAAGTGGGTAACTGATTCAATTTCGGCCGGTTCAATTCTTCCATTTGTGAAGTAAGTAAAAGAGGCATCTCTATGTTCTTCTAGATATCTTTTTCTCTATCTAAAACTCCTAGTATTGATTACAAATGCCACAGTAGTGTAATTGGTCTTTCTTCGATTATCGAAGTTTGCCGGACAGATCTTTACCCACTTGAAGAAAAAGAACCCTATTTTGAGAATGGTCAAGCAAGTACCTGAAATAACAATGTTTGATTGTTCCTTGCAGATACATGATTTTACCTAACCAGTCCAAGATCAGATGTACAAGATCTGGAAAGCCAGTTCACTTTGTTGAATCAAACCTCATTTTTGATGGAGTAGGCTTCATGCTTTGTGGGAAATGTAGGTTTTGTACTCAGCTTACAATAATAATCAAGGTAATCCTCCAGCTTTTAGAGAAATCATACGTATTCGACTTTTATATAGGATTCGGTTTAGATATAATTATGTGTTATTCGGTTCGGATCAATTGTTCAGTCATTAACCGAATTGGCCACCCTAATAAGTAATATCTCGCCGTGATGCATCCAACTCACATATACTTGATCGAAATAGCACGGAGGGGGACACATCTTCAAGTCTCTTCATTCGCTCATCCAAAGCAAAGAAGCAGGAAAGATACGTTTCCCCGCCATTGTTTATGAAGATGAGAGCAAGGTGTCTCGCCACTTGAGGCAATGCGCATTGGAGCGGGAGATAAACGTGATGGTTTGTGTCGAAACTTCTCCTTCATCTAGAGACTTTCTGCAGTGTCTGTTTTTTTTTTCACTTGAGCTTCCATTGTTTTGTCCCAGCCGGCTAGTTGGATAGTGAAGAGCTTGTTCTTTGGAAGCCTCCTGCCGACCACAAGAGAGTAACAAGTATATATATATATATACCCTCCTTTGTTCATTTGATATTTGTACAGCCCAAACCGTGAAGGTTGATGTTTCCTTCCATTTTGAAAAAAATATACTAAATTAGTTTTTATACGGGATTTTGGATCGATTATAATTTATATTCCGTTAGATGAGTTTTTTTATTAAGAAAAATATTTTATTTTAATGAAGTTTTTGTTTTTTTTTCCTGTCTTTTACTGATTAATTTTATATTCGATTCATATTCAATTAATTTAATATAAAAATAGATTTAAATAAATTTTAGATTGAATCCAATTTATATAAAATGAAATGCTATAATCGGGTTTTACAATCTAATGTACCTGCAAGTGGATAAATAACACTTTTTTTTACAAATAGAATTCGAGCAATACAAAGACAATACAAAGATGAATCTCTCTCTCTCTGCAACAGTACATCATCAACGGCATAAATTTGTCCCGATGGCTGTCACTGCAAAGTTAATAAGAATCTACCAACATGTGATTTATCCTTGAGAACATGCATGCACGCATGTATGTGTATATATATATATAGTCACATACATTCCCTTCAGTCAGATCCGAACGAAGAAGATACTGAGCTCAGGCCCACCATTCCCGTCAGGATTCATCATGTAATACGTCTCCGAATCTCTCGACCCGATCACTCTCTCGTAATGTGCCCTCATGTACGTCAGATCTCCCTCCGCCGCCGCTCCTCCGCCGTGTTCCGCCCCTCCTCCACCGCCGCTCACCGGCAAAACTCCGGCGCCCATTGACACGGCATGGAGCATCTGCATCACCACCAGATCCTCCTCCGTTGGCTGCCTCTTCACTCCGTAACCTGATTTCCGACCATTGCAGTACAATGTCCAAATGGGTTCGTCGATTATTTTGATTTTCTCGCTGGGTTTTTTCTCGCACTCCAACGCGATTCTCACCAGACCCACTCCCAGATCCTGAAGCAATTTCCCCGTCGGGATCGCGAGTTCCAGCAGCAGAATCGGCAGCGAACGCGGATTCTCCTGAATCGCGAGGTTAACCCGGGTTTTCCGGTACCCAAACAGTGTTCCCGTAACGCGGGTACCGCCGTGAACGTGATTCTCGTGAAGACGCGTACCTCCGACGGGGAATTTGCACATCGGCGTTATGATCGGAAGTGACCGGAAAACTGACCTGACGCGGCGGAGGAGCTTCGTCGATTTGGACCCGCCGGATTTGTTCTTTCCAGACGGCTGCTCGAGCGTTATCGTTGGTCGCGTCGCAGTCGCGTTTTTGGAACGCGGGCTTCCGAGCGGGGAGAGCGTTGTGGGCGTTAACGGTGGTGTTGCCATTTCATGCCACAGAGAAAATAAATGAACAAAAATTAATTGACCTTTTTTCCCCCCTCCTCTAACACATTGGAATGTATATAATGTAACACAACAATTTTTATACATGAAATGATTAATGGTTTGCACGATTGAATCTAATATACTTGTTTAAGATATGCAAAAATCTCAGTCTACGGTTATTTAAATACGTTTTTTTTTCTGGTCGCCTATTGAGTTGATGGGGGTTATAACTTATATTTATATCAGAAGCGATTTCAAGTAAAATTATATATATTTTAAGTTAAATTAGAATATAAAGATAGATAACCTTAAAATGAACAAATTTTTTTATAAAAAAGGTGAGTATAATTCTAACAAAAATGCACGAATAAAATTTAACCAAAAATCGATATACAGAATATAATTTTTTTTTAATAAAATTGAAAAACCGATACCAAAAATATCCACGAATTAATTTGAATTTAAGGTCAATTTAAATAAGTGGTATATAGCTGACTGCTTCTTTGCGCTGCTGTTTCAAAGGTCGTTTCCCACTTAGATCCGTGTACTCAGAAAACACTTGAAGCTCCGACATGACAGGTTTGTCTATTTATAAACTAATTACCTTGTCGTGTGTTAATACTTAATCATACAAAAAAAATATATATGTAATTTCAAAATAATGTTAAAATATCAAGTTCCAAAAAGTTATTTAAAAAGCAATACTAAATAATATTTTGAAAATCTATGATTGCAGTGATCTTTTATATGAAGGGTCACGATTTATTGTGTATCTAAAAGATCATCCACGGATTATTTATCGTTAACACTTAACGGTTTTATTTTGTTATCGAGATAAATAAATTCGTCCCACTACGATGAAGTGCAAAATGGAGAATCCAATACACTTCTCCTAGGCCCAATATGAAGCTTGGGCCCACAAAGAAGCTTTGGCCCAATTATCAAGAGAATATTCAACTACACGAGTTTCTGATTTTATTCTCGTAGGATTTGAATAAAGCGTGAAAATAATTTCTTCGAGCTCCCAATCGGTGAATCAGAGAAGCAGAATAAGGGCGTTTTTTTCCTGTTCGTCTCAGTGAGAATTGTTGTTTTCCCGAGAAACAAACAGGTGTCGAGTTTGACTTTCTTGTGTGTGATTCGAAAACTCTGTGTCCATCGATTAAGAGATTTTCCGCTACCTGTTTTGTTTGCTTGACTCCACTCTTTTTTTTTTTAAATTTTCTCAGGCTGAAGATGTTCAAGAACACGTTTCAGTCTGGATTTCTGTCTATTTTGTACAGTCTAGGGTACGATTTTGTTTGACTTTTCGTGTTTTATCTAATTTAAATCTTTGGTGTTTTTAATCCGCCAAGTGTTTTTTTGTCTGGATTTTGCAGGAGTAAGCCTCTGCAGATATGGGATAAAGAAGGTGAGTGATTTTCCGCTGTACAAGCTGAATTGGACCGAAATTTCAAATTTTATGTGATTAAATTGGAGAGTAGATTTCCGGGTGTTTGTTATTTCCATGAGAAATGTTCAGTACGATCTTTGATATGGCAGCAGATTAGGTTACAATAGCCAATATCACTCCTGGACCCAGATTCCACACCATAGTCATGAATCAGCACAACTCTCATTGGTTGTTCTAGATGAAATTTTGATCTTGATTGACGATTTTTGAGGTTACAATAACCAATATCAGTCCTGGACACAGATTCCACCATAACGATGAATCAGTACAACTCAGATTGGCTGTTATTGATGAAGTTTTGTTCTTAATTGATGATTTGAACAAACCCCATGATTTAGGTGAGCTAAGCATTTTCTTTGTTTTCTTTTTGTGTTTTATAGTTGTGGATGGTCATGTGAAGCGTCCTCACGACGACGACATTCAGTCCAATGTGCTGGAAGTGGTGGGATCAAATATTCAGTCGACGTATATCACATGTCCCGTTGATCCCTCTGGAACCCTCGGTATAAAGCTCCCCTTTTTGGTCATGATAGTGAAGAATCTCAAGAAATATTTCTCGTTCGAGATTCAGATTCTTGATGACAAGAATGTCCGGAGGCGTTTTCGAGCTTCTAACTTTCAAGTCAGTAAGCCTTCCTTCCTATGTTGCTGTAACTCTTCATTTGCCTCGTGAATCTCTCTCGTGTGTTTTTAGCTAAGACCTGTGTCCTATGTTGCTGTAACTGCTTTTGAGGTTGCTTTTTCTTCTTGCAATTAACTCGGTAAAGATCTCATTCTTAACAAAATGCTGTTGGATTTTCAATAAATGGTTTACTGTGTGATCTTAGAGGTTTTTTGACAGTGGTTAGTACCGTAAGCAGTGGTGTAGTCTATAAGAAGTCACTGAAGCTCCCGATATTAGAGTAGCCTTTTGGATTTAGTGAACTCTTCACCCAATGCTCTTATTGTTTCTTCATCAGATACACCCTTTAGATTATGAGCATTATCCTCGAAAGTCCAATGCATTGTAGTTCCTGAGTCCTGAAGATGCACTCTTATTGAAACTTCTATGACATGGTTCATTCTTTTTCCATATAATGATTCTTCTAAGGTTGTTTCTGATATTTTCGTACGAACGACAATTGTAGTCTGTGACCCGGGTGAAGCCATATATTTGCACAATGCCGCTGAAGATGGACGAAGGATGGAACCAAATCCAGCTGAACCTGGCTGATCTCACCAGGAGGGCTTACGGAACGAACTATGTTGAGACATTACGTGTTCAGGTCCACGCGAATTGTCGGCTCAGACGGATATATTTCGCTGACCGACTCTACTCAGAAGAAGAGCTTCCTCCAGAATTCAAGCTGTACCTTCCAGTGCAGGTACATATTTTTCTTCTCCATAATCTGAAATCTCACATTTCGATATTCTATTTCCTTCTATAACAATCTGTGCTCTTACAGAATTCATTTTTTCCCCTGCAGAAAGCATGACGTGCAGAAACTTTGAAATACGGTGAATTATCATCCTGTGTTTGGTAGTTAAAGGGCTTTTGTATGAGCTGAAAATGAGTGGTATTGTTTGTGCAATCCATACCATTTGGAGTTTCTGAAACAGAGAGTAACCCCTTGTCCTAATCTTTTATGAAATGAAATGAAATTATCTACGGACAACATTTTCCGTTCTGGAATGTATGCAAAGTCACAATCATACATAAGCTTGGAACAAGATAGGATCCAATGCAGAAACTGAAACTGAAGGAAAGCAAGCTTAAAAGGCTTCTGCAGGTTCAGTTTATGCTGCATCTTCTGTCTTCGACTCTTTTGCAGGAAAACTACCGTACAAGAATTCGGGTCATGTCATGTTGTCTTAGACCCGATGACGATGTTAAAAGGAACGAGATATCATCCTATGGATCGGTCTCTCCTTCGATCATGCCTGGCTCCACGTCAGCACCTGCCTCTATTTGTCCAGGCTCTTGACCATTATCTGTGTCCGAACCGAGCTTTTGCTGTTCCTCTGGTGTAGGAGTGTTAGCTTGGGAAACATCACCGGTCACTGCAACAGCGTCAGTCTCCATATGCTCCGCGAATGTTTCTGTGTCAGCTCTCGCTCCATCATTCTCGGGTTCACTAGCAGAAGCAGCACTCTGCCAAAGAGAAGAACCAGTTCTCAAAATCATGGGTTTTTGAGTCGTTTCAATCTCTCGGATACCCGCGAGTTACGGATTATCCGAACCAAGACCCAAACTTCTCGGATCTCACGAATTATTACCCGATTTTGGATCCCCATTTTGACCAGGTTCCCGTGATACCCAACCCATTGGGAATTCTTTTTTTCAAAAATATATCTCATATATTAGGAATTAACACGGTTCGCGTACACGCAATTTATTTTCAAGTTGTCTAAACTCGAATCCAAAATTTCAAAAGATTTTAGAAGGTTTTATAAAGTATCTCTAAAATAGAGAAGCAAAAAAAATATCATTTGACAGTTTATTCTCAAACCCATTTATTCAAATCCGAACCCAATTTTTGGAATTTCCTCGTGTTATAACCCGATCCCTGTGGATTGGGTCGGATTTCTGTCCAGTCCTAGAACGAGACGATGAGCTAAAACCGTACCTGATTTCCCTCGGGAGGTTGTGATGTGCCTTTGGTTTCATCTTTCTTTGCACGTTTCGACTTCTCGGAGGGTTTAGTTTGGTATTTGGACCTCACCTCAGGAGGCAACAGTTCTACAGGTACAACCCCTTCTATTCCATGATCAGTGAACTGCAAAAATTAAAAAAAACGAAGTCTTGCTTAGATTAAGAATGAAGTAAAAAGCAATCACGTAAACCATCAGGAACATAAAATCTTGAAGAACATCATACTCTAGAGAATCCTTCCAGGTCTTGTCTAGCCGTAAAGCGTAGCCCTTTCCAGCAATAGACCTTTAAAGACAGTAAACACACAACGTGGGAGTGAATATAAGAAAATTGAGCGATGGATTGCGAGTTTTCTGCGAAGCTTACCCGATTGTTTTTGTGATGATATTCTGCTTCGATACCCGCAGATGGGTCCATCTGGGATTTTATAAATACAAGACTTGAGTGAGCTAAGAGACAAACAGTCAACAATAATGTGTTTGTTTGAGAAGAAAGAGGATGGAGCTTACATCCTCTGCTAATGGTTTCCAGTACTCTGCAATGGCAGGAGTTCGGACTCGTTGAGGGTCAGTCAAAGCGTTCTGTAACGCCAATAGAGGTAAAAGATAATATTATGAAGGTCCAAAACGGAAAACCAGAGGGAAACACGAAAACACGAGAGGAAGATGTGTAGCTTTTTCCTCCTGTTGCACGAGCATTAAGGGTAAACCCTAATACAGAGTGCTCACAACAAAACTAAAGGATATAAATAATAAATACCGGATTCTGGTCTGCCCATCTCCACAGTTGAGAGAGTTCTTTATTGCCCAGTCTCCACCTTTGTGTCCTGCAAAGGCAAAGGGAAAGGATGTTAAATATATGAAGAACCCTCACGGAGAATGATCTCTTAATGGAGTGTTGTAAAATCAAAATCTTAGCTCAGTCAACCTCGGGTCTTTCTTCTAAGCACCCTTATGGAGAGGAGGCTTACTTATATTCTATTCAGACTTATCACTTTGTCTCCCACTTCAATAGGGAATAGGCCACAGAGGCATTTGACCAGAAAGAGAACTCTCAAGCTTAGCAATATCCTATACAGAAATTTAACCCTAAAGGCTAACAAGCAAGATACACATTTGTTTTTGATCGGAAAGAGACCAAGAGCAAAGAGTCAGTTATTCGCATACCGTTTCTTCTGCCCTGCTTGAAGTGATTTTTTCTCGATTGGTTGCTTTTCAAATGGCGGGCATCCATCACGTTTCCACCAGACCTATTTTATGTAGCGGTTGAGAAATCGGTAATAAACCTCTGAATTCAAGTGAGTAAACTTCTGCAGCATGTAGGAAAGAGAAGCATGCATACCCAGTTCTTTTCACGTTCCAGTATATGCTCAACTGCACGGAGGAATTCTTTCCCTTTAGGTGGAGTGATCTCAAGCAATTTCTTTACACGATCCTCACATGACTTGAGTTCTTCCTTCTAGATCCAAAAGACAGACATATTTTAGAGATGCTTCATATCAAGATACATATATATGTATGATGCACGCTCACATGCACATGTTCACTCACGCTCATTTGCATATTTATTTGATCACAAATACAAATATTTACATAGGTGAGATGCAAAATAATTCACACGCCTGTAACATAATAAAGAAAGAAAAAACCATGGAAACATTTGCATAACATGCAGAAACACGGACCATGCTTTCAGAAGGCAAATCTTTGTCGTTCTTTCCTGGTGCCTACAAGGAACAGGAGTTGGTCATGTAACAGAAAAAAAAGTAATTCAACTGCGATTCTTGGGAGACATTTACCCTCAGATAATCAAACAAAATGAGGCACTGGAGAAGAATATGTCGACGGAAACTAGAATCCTTTAACTGTAATCAAAGACAATTAGAGCACGTAAAATGCTGTATTCTAAATTTTGTATGTCAAAACACACCATTAATACAAATATATATAGTAATTACCTCTAAACCCATTAATTTACTACTGGTGAGGTACTTAATGTTAAAAGTTGCTGCCTCTTCCTCCAAACTATTAGCCTCCCCCTCTTCTTCACTTAGCAGTTGTGCTTCAAAGGTGTTTAACACAACCTACACACACCAACGTTCAAGAAATGAGGTCATGTGAGCAGATTCATAACAAACTTCTTTAAGGACACTATTTGTCAATGCATATACATTTATACATAAGCAAAAGCCCAGATCATGCATCATAGCTGGCTCATGATGGGCGTACCATCAAGCTAGATGTAAATTTCTGCCATTTGGTTTGTGCGCCAGTCAGAGAAGCGGGATTACAGAAAACTTCCTGAAAAGCAACACAAATTTCTCAGAATAACAAACACTAATTCTAAAAATTATTGGCTTAGTATAACAAGACGATGTTTCATCTAATGATGATTTTTGCATGATGAAACAACTTAACAAAGGATCTATATATTACAATCCTAAACAGTCAGTGTTATTAGTATATAAGACATGAAACGTTAAGACAAGCCGTTTAACTTGTTAGGACAATAATACAAGAAACATAGTGAAGAGTAGAACATTGAAAAAGGTTTTGTGTTTGGGAGAGAGAGACTATCAGAAGTCCTCCTACTTGTTTTTATCTTTTATGGAAATTTGATTTACAGATTCTACTATTGGATTTCTATCACTATAACACAACCGTTGAGATAAAAGCAGCAAAGTCTTGAGAATGATTTTTCTCTTAGTCTCCTTACCTGCAAACTCCAAAAGGTCTTATAGAAATTGAAATCCACAGAAATGCCTGAGAATGGCAACCAGTCACAGTTAAATATAAGAAAACGATTTGGAGACGCAGCAATGCAAATACAGGGACCAGATTTTGATAGAAAAAGTTAGTTGCAAATACCAGTAGGGGGGTCTTTTTCATATTTGGTTTCATTAGATGTGTTGAAAACACCTTTTATATTAACAGCTGCGAGGATAAATCGAGAGAATAAAAAGTTAGATGACAGCTTAACAAAAAAAAATGAAAATCGAAAATAAAATAAATTACTAGAACCAGTAGATACCTGAGCGTTCAGATAATGGAAAAAAGTGAGCTAGAAACATGAGAATCCTTCCACAAAATACCACATCATTGGCCTGTATGTCATTACAGGAAACATAAAGACAAGTTTAATACCAGAAACAGAGCTGATTGCTAGATTGTTTTTAAGATAGCAAGTCCACTACCATTTTACCAGTTTATTAGACCACAAAAGGAGGTTGAGAAGGTGAGAGAGAGAGGGGGATATTGTACCTTTGAAAGTCGACGAAGAAGTTGATTGCATGTTCTCAACATCACAAGTTTTCCACGTGCAAAAAGCTCTTGCTGCATATGATTGCAGCATCCTCATTAGAGATAAGCAACTTGATAGAATGGAATAGAATGATTACAAAGCTGATTTCATTTGAAGCATACCTTGCCCAATATGTCTTGCTTACTTTCTATATAACCAAAAACATCTTTACAATTTTTCATGGTAGACATTTCCGTCAAATCTTCTAGCAGCTGGAATATCATTCCACCTTCTATATGTTCTTTCTCGCAAAGATAAAGCACAACATCTGATAAATCAAAAAAGAAAAAAAAGAAAGAATGATGGTGAGAGGTTAGAAAAGCCAGTTAAGAATCAGAAAATACTGGCTAAGAAATGGCCAAGTCACAGAAGTGGGATACCATTGCAAATATATTAGCAAGCTATGGAATTAAGACCTGGACAGAAAGCTTTGAAGTAAATGACCAACCTAGGAGATGAGGAATCTGTCCCTGTATATTATCTCCGTCATCAATTGACTGACCATATTGCATTATCTGTTCACCGGACTGTGCAGCAGAAGCCTGCACCATGAGAAAGAAGTCCACAAAACAAAAATCAAACGAAAAATCACCAGGCATGAGCATAATCAACATGAATAAATAGCGAAGTAGAAACATACCACTAGCTCTTGAAGCAACGTCCGGAGCATGTTCTCAAGCATTTGGTTTTCATCTTGGACCAACTTTGTTTGTTTCTGACAGATGATATATCAACACAATAAGCTCGAATCACACAATTTGATAAGCCCCATGGAGAAACGAAAATCATTTCCTACAAGAATGTGTTTGATGCTGTACGCTTGCAACCAAGAACTAGAAATAGACAGAAGATTAAATCTAATGCAGAAAAATCAAAGGACACCCAGAAGATGACCAGTAAACTGATATTTCCAACAGAATTTTAAAATTTAACTCATGCAAATACATTTTACATAGATAAATATACATCTGTGACCAGGTAAGCATAAATCAGCGTTGCTGATTTTCACACTACACAAAGGTCTAGAGTTTCCACGAACAGAAACAGCTAGATTAGCATAATTTCACATACTTTTGTCAGAGAAAATTCCAAGTAATGAATACAACATCTGCAGAAGGTGTTATGGTTTCACAATCACCTGAGGCTTTATGAACTCTTGAATGGTCTTTAGTGCAAAACTTTCAATAGCGCCTTGCTGCAGAATAGCATCTCGAAACGCATCCTACGAACAACACAATGCCCTTAAAATCTAGCAGAACTTGTAATACACATACAGAGTATATCTTCTCTAAAAGCATCCCTATAACGTAGACAGTGACTATAAATTTAGGAATTACATAAGATAGGCAGAACCATATTTAGACATAAACCATAGAGCATCTAAACACATCCTGGAAACGACACCAAGACAACAAAAGCCTAGCAAAATATGACAAACACTTGTGACAACATTTACACCCTAACCAAAATTTCCAGTCACATGAGAAGAGAAGCACAGCTATAGGGCTCAGGAAGTGATACAGATACGAAGAAAGCTCAGCGCTTGTGTGCTCAACTGAATAGTATACTCCATTTCTGCGAATTTCACTGCTACTTAACAGGTGAAGTGGAAGTGATCACTACTAAATTCCATAATCAGGGAACAAAGGGAAAGGTCGTAGAAATACCATGTTGAAGAATCTCTTCTCGGCTCTCAAATCATAACAGATTCGAACCCGCGAACTTGCAAAGGAAATCCTTTTGAACCCAAACAAATCCCGAGCAATTTGACTGTACCAGAAAAAAGAAAACCTAATGAAATTGACGTCCCTCAGAGCAAATTTCAGGGAAAGATTCGGATTTTCGTTTCCTTCATGTTTCCTCTTTAATTGAAGAAAGCAACAGACTTCAACGGTGAAGCCACGGACCTTTGCACACCAGTATCCAAAGCTAAGACCAAAAAGAAGCTGAGAGAGGGAGACTTCGAACCCTAACGCCGAGAAACCCTAATTCGCCGCCGAGAGTGTAAATCTCGTCGGACGGGGCAACTGAGGCGGAGGAAAAGGAAGTTACAAAGTTGAGGAGCTTAGGGTGTTGGACATTTTGGGTTTCATGGGTTTATTTTTAACCTTTTTTTTTTTTTGGATTTTGTACATAGCGTGTATTTCGTCTTTATATTAAATAATATTTATTTTTTAAAATATGTTTTCCTCTTCTTCTTTTTTCATATTTAACCTAGATTTAAAATTTTGATTCGTTTATTTTTTTTTTAGAAAATTTATTAGTGTTAGGTTAGGTTCGATTATATTTTGTGTAGTTGGGTCCATTTCATGATCTAATAAAATTATGAGACCCTAATTACTATTTTGGATCAAATTAGGAAAGAAGTAACATTTCGTAACATGAACACAAACTCAGCAAAATGTCCAAGAACTAAACTCCCATCTTTGAACGAAGATTCTTAGGTTGTACAAAGTATCGAATTCAATAGACAAAAACAGCACAAATATCCAAAGGCAAAGCCGAGGTTTCCGAGAAAAATGTCATTGACGGGTCGCGAAATGGGTCACTTATTTGCACTAAACAGGCCAAGTCTTACTGACCGATGACCCGCTTGGCGCCGTCCAAGGTGTTCTTGAGCAGCATTGCAACTGTCATGGGGCCTACGCCTCCCGGGACTGGAGTTATGTAACCCGCGACTTTACAGGCTTCTTTGTAATCCACATCTCCCACCAACCTGTATCCCGATTTCTTGCTCGGGTCATCCACTGCATTCGTCCCGACATCAATGACTGCAGCCCCGGGCTTTATCCAGTCGCCCTTAATCTGCAAGAAAAACAAGAGGAAATGAGAGGTGCGGATTTCAAATGGTTTTTTTGGTCATGGCTTAAGAGAGTAAGATATGTATATCGAAAGACTGATTACCATGGCTGCCTGCCCAGCTGCGGCAATAATGATGTCAGCTTCTCGTATGATCTTCTCACTGTCTTGAGAGCGAGAGTGTACAATTGAAACGGTAGCATCCGCCTTGAGCAATAGCAGTGAAACAGGCAATCCGACTATATTACTCCGACCTACAACAACTGCTCGTTGACTCTTTATCTTTATGCCGCTTCTTACTAAGAGTTCCAGACATCCCTGCAGAGAACAAACCACAAATAACCGAAGTTGGTAAGTAAACACGAGGACAACAAACAGAAAATTTGCAATATGCATGTAAATCTCAATATAGCTTTGTCATGATCTAGTGATACAATTTTCAGTTGCACTTGACGTGGTAAATTTTCATAAACATTGCTTGAAAAAACATGAGATTGTTATTCAAGAAAGAAGGATACCTTTGGGGTGCATGGAAGGAAGAGAGGTTCTCTCCCTTTCATGGCAAGCTTACCAATATTCAATGGGTGGAAACCATCAACATCTTTCTCAATGCTAATTGCACCCAAAACATTCTCTTCATTAATATGCTTTGGCAATGGGAGTTGAACTAATATCCCTGCAGCCAAAAGTCGATAGGTTATATATCTGCAAAAAATAGTGAGGTTGCAAGGCAGTACCAAACCAACTCAATGCTAGTACCCGAAGACACCACACTTCGAAAAAAACAGGAAACCGTTCAAGTTAACCTGACACTTGAATGCTAAAAAGTGGAGAGAACATCATTCGAAGTCGGGCATAGAATAAATTGACGATATTGAAGCCGTATCTTTGTTTTCAGAGAGGTAAGAGGAGAGAGTGTATTCGTCTATATGTTACATGATCTACAGCAAAGACTCTACCGTGCACATCTGGGTTTGAATTCAACTCGTAAACTTTGCTTATGAGATCTGCTTCAGACACATCCTCTGGAAGGTCCACATCAATAGACTTAATGCCAACCTCGGCACATGCTTTCCTCTTCATTCTCACATAGCTTTGTGAATCCTTCCGGCTCCCAACTATGACTACAGCCAGTCCTGGAACCTGCATAAAGGTATTACCTCAAATACTAACCATCCCATCAATTATTTTGGCACATCATTTACATTTCTTTGGATGGGCATGTGCTAAGAGAGGAAAAGGCATCATAAAATTATTTCTTTAGCGTCCTGCCAACAATTCAACACTTCTTTACACATTATCGTCCCATTGTTGGTTGGTATTCCCATCTCAATCAAAAGGGACCTAAATTTCCAATTAAATGGGACTACACATTACGGCTATCCGAAATCACTACTCATCGCAGGCAAGAGAGGGTCTCCAGGAAGCTAGAATCCGAAAATAAATCAGCGCTCAAAGCCAAAAAGGCCGACATAAAAGTCAGGTTCTGTGAAGCAAAACCAAAAGGTTCAACAAAAAGTATCAGCTTTTGTTTTTTCATAGGCTAAACCAAACGACTGACGATTTTCATTGATCGGATTGAAGGGTAGCTACACTTTGAACTTGTTTAGCTTCTTCAGGATATTAATACGACCTAACTCTGCTTAGAAGAGCTTTGAAGCTAAAACTCACATCAGATCGATTAAATAAGCACGGATAGATTTAGGAAGGCAACAACAGATTCTACTTTCAGGAACAAAATCAATGTAGAAACAGAAATGGTTCCGTACAAACAGAAGCCTCTACCTTGCCGTATTTCTCCGACAGCCCGCGAACTTCTTCGGCGATCTCCGACCGAATAGTCTGAGCAATCGCCTTCCCGTCTATTATCTTCGCCTTTTGATCCGCCGATGACGCCATGAGAGCCAACAGAAACTATAGACGACGATGAAAATATTCTCTATAGACGACGATGAGGGGACATAATCCGTGCGAGAACAGTCTACTCTTATTCACGCAACCAAACAAGACACAAAAAGGGTAAAATTGTCATTTAGACGAGATCAAACCAATATGTCGTCATTTGCCTTACGCCGTCAACGGTACACCTATCTGTTTTAACCTCGCCGTAACGGCGAATCTCTCATCAGGTGTTTTATTCACGTAACAGCAGTGTGTGTTTTGGCGGTAAAATGGGGTCATAGTTGTACGTGGCGGTAGATCATTGGCTGATTGTGGGGTATATATAAAATGCTATGCACGTGCGAACCTCGTGCGTGTTGTTTTTCCCGCGCGAGACATAACCCTCTATAGGGTTTCTCACCAAAAAAGGATCCCAAAGCTAGAGAAGAGAGAGAAACAATAGGGATAGAGAGAGAATAAGGAACGAACACTTGAGAAAGGGGAAAATTCTAGGGTTTTGCGGGGAAATCTCTCTGCTTGATTCGTTGATTTGGCTGCTGACCACTCTGTTTGTAGCGGGTTTTTGGTCGTTTTTCTCTATCTTTGAGGTTCAGTGAGAATCGTCGAGGTTTTGTTCCGGATCTGTGGGAGAAAAGAATTGTAAGATCCTTGATCTCTTGCTTTTATCTTAGATTTGAAGTGTGGCTGTTCGGTGAATTCCGCTCCGCCAAATCTTTTTGCTTGTCGATTGTGATTTTGACTGGGTTTTGCTTAAAGTAATCAATTTTAGGAATTTCTGTTTTTTTTCAATATCTGCAATGATGCAATTTGAAATTGAGAAGAACTGCGATACCTTGAAATCGTGAGCTTGAAATTCTTCGATTTCCTTTTTCTGGGCTAGTTTTCTCAATCAGAAGGGGTTTAGGGTTTCCGTGATCTCTCCGCCGGTCTCCACGCCTTCGCTGTGATTTTAGCCCCCGCCGTTACTGTTCTCGGGGTCTCCTGTAAAAACTCTCTCTCCCATCTTGTTTTTGCCGCCGGCTAGGTTTTGGTGGGTCATTGCGAGTTCAGTTGAAAAATTCAAGAATACTATCAGTTAAGATTTTCTCGTCTCCAGGTCCCTTGGAGACTATGGAAGAAGTTCAGGTTCAGCCTCCTGTCACTCCATCGATCGATTCCAACGGGAAAGGGGGTGAAATGGATGTTACTGAAGCATCTTTCATGGACTTATGCGAGGTTTATTATGTCTTCAATGTTCTAAATTGTATTTATTGTGAAGCATCGTTAAATTCTCTTAATTGGAAATTGTATCACTTATCCTTGGAGTTGATGTTTTGTCACAGAAAGAACTCTCTATTGAGGAGAACAAGTGCACTGAAGCTTTGACGTTGTTTAAAGAAACTAAACAAATTTTATCAGCAAACACTTCTAGCATTGGAAGCGGAGCGGTGAAATACGATTTTCTGCTTCTTTTTCTTATCAGTTAATGACCGGCAAATATGATAAATGAACATTTTTATTGTTAGGTGGAAGAAGCAGAGAGGTTTTGGTTTGCGTTTATCCTGTATTCTGTGAAAAGGCTAAGTGAGAGAAAAGAAGGGGAACTTCAGGGGGTGTCTGGTGATAATGGGTTTAATTTATGCCAAATACTGAGGGTTCTAAAGCTAAAGTACGATAATGCCCATTTCAGTCCATTGTTCATTATTTCAGTTTTTTTATCAGTTGCGGGACTCATTCTCTTGCATTCTGTTTCCAGCATTGTGGATTTCTTTAAGGAGTTGCCTCAGTTTGTGGTGAAGGCTGGCCCTATCTTGCGTGAACTATATGGCACAGACTGGGAGAACAGGCTTCAGGTACTGACTTATGCCTTATAATATGCTTTATTTTCAGGCCATATTAGTGTTACATATGCCACTCACAGTTTTTGTCGCTTTTTGCTAATTTTGTTTACTAGGCGAAGGAGTTGCAAGCAAACTTTGTGCATCTTAGCCTTCTAAGCAAGTGGGTTTAGATTCTTCATTTGTCAATACACTTTTGTCGTTTTCTTCTTTTTGTTGCAGAAAATTTCTGTAGTTGATTCGGAGAAGGAACTTTGTTCTTCTCTACCTTAAGCAGTATTCCATCTGCTTTTCAGTAATTAACATTTAGAAATATCAAATACCTGTCATCATGTTAACATATTCTGTTCTTTGTGGGTTTATTGTGGATTTTCTTTTGTTGCACATGCATTGATAACAGATACTACAAGCGTGCATATCGGGAGTTCTTCTTGACAAATGACTCTAATGCAGAAAAGGATTCTTGTGGTGAAACCACTGCTAGCTATATGTCAGATTATTTCCGTTTTGGATGGCTGTTGTTTTTGGCACTCCGAGTCCATGCATTCAGCCGTTTTAAGGACCTTGTTACTTGTACAAATGGCTTAGTTGCTATATTGGTTAGAGAATTGAGCTTTCCCTAATCTTCCATTCATCTCTTTATCAGCCGGAAAAATTTAAGTGAACGTATGTATAGGCTAACTTTTCTCTTTGTTGTTGCGTTTTGTTGTCAGGCTATCTTGATTATGCATGTCCCTCATCAATTTAGGAATTTCAGCCTTCAAGACTCTCGACGGTTTGGTAAGTGTTTTCCATTTATGGCTTCTTTTGAATGGCTTACCATGTTGGCATGCACAATGTGTATCCACTATTCTTGTTTTGTTGATGAGGGTTGCAGTTAAAAGAGATGGCAGAGGCATAGATCTACTTGCTTCACTTTGCAACATCTATGACACTTCTGAAGATGAGTTGAAGATCACGATGGAGAAAGCAAATAACCTTATAGAAAAAATATTGAAGAAAAAACCTTCTCTTGCATCCGAGAGTCAAACTGACAAACTAGAAAATATTGATCCAGGTTTTTTCCTCCCTTTTCTTTCCTCACGACCCAGATTTGTCTAAAAACATCTTTTGTTCATAGTCATATGAGCATGCTGTACCTGTACCATCATCTAAATTTTTCTAAATTGGATTCTAAATTGCAGATGGCTTAGTCTATTTTGAAGATTTATTGGATGAGACATCCATCTCAAGTAGTTTAAGTATGCTAGAAAAAGATTATGACGATGCAATCCGTAACAAAGGTGAACTTGATGAGAGGATGTTCATCAATGAAGAGGACAGCTTACTTGGTTCAGGAAGCTTATCTGGAGGAGCTGTAAATATAACTGGTGTCAAGGTAAGTGTCATAGATTATTTCCTTTCTTGTTTTCCTCAGGCAGAGGTTAGCATTTATCACGTTTTCATACTTTGTGCAGAGGAAAATTGATTTGTTGGCTTCACCAGCAAGGACTGTCACAAGTCCACTCTCTCCTCATCGGTCACCCTCCACTTCTAAAACAAATGGTGTTAATAATAACAACAAGACAATAGCAACACCAGTGAGCACAGCGATGACAACTGCGAAGTGGCTCCGGACTGTTATATGCCCACTTCCATCAAAACCTTCTCCTGAGTTGGAACATTTCCTGAAATCATGTGACAGAGATATAACGAATGATGTCACTCGGAGAGCACATATAATACTGGAGGCTATATTTCCAAATAGTTCCCTTGGTGACCGATATGCAAGCGGAAGCCTACAAAGTGTTAACCTGATGGATGACATATGGGCGGAGCAAAGGAGAGCAGAAGCCCTCAAACTATACTACAGGATTCTCGAAGCAATGTGTAAAGCAGAAGCCCAACTTTTGCATGCGAGCAATTTAACCTCTTTATTGACAAACGAGAGGTTCCATAGATGCATGCTTGCATGCTCAGCTGAATTGGTTCTGGCAACCCACAAGACCATAACAATGTTGTTCCCCGCTGTTCTGGAGAGGACTGGCATCACTGCTTTTGATCTTAGCAAGGTGATAGAGAGTTTTATCAGACATGAAGATTCTCTTCCTAGAGAGTTGAGACGACACTTGAACTCGTTGGAGGAACGTCTCCTAGAGAGTATGGTGTGGGAAAAGGGCTCATCAATGTACAACTCTCTGATTGTTGCTAGATCATCCCTTTCATCAGAGATAAATCACCTAGGACTGCTAGCCGAACCCATGCCCTCTCTAGATGCAATTGCTGCACTTATTAACTTCTCTGGAGGATCATATCCTGCATCCTCTGTCCCAAAGCATGAACCTTGCCTCGGTAATTTTCTTTCGATTTTCTGAATAGAAATAGTTGATGCATTGATTGTTTACTTGCTGATAGTGCCATGATTTTCTGCGGAAAAAACCTTACTAAGCTGCATTTCAAATTAACTGCCATACAGGACAAAATTTGGATATCAGATCACCCAAAAGACTCTGCGGTGACTACCGGAGTGTTTTAGTGGAACGCAATTCCTTTACGTCACCAGTTAAGGATCGCCTATTAACACTTGGAAACCTTAAATCCAAGATGCTGCCACCTCCTCTGCAGTCTGCCTTTGCCAGGTATAGTTTGGCTGATACTGGGTGGGAATGCTGAATTGTTTGTATTATTGACCTACTATCTGCCATCCTTTGCTTGTTAAGCTAACCTTTTCCTACTTGTCCTACAGTCCGACACGGCCAAACCCGGGAGGGGGAGGAGAAACCTGTGCAGAAACCGGGATCAATATTTTCTTCACAAAGGTACGGAAAACCTATCCACACTACCCATTCAACGTACCTTCTAGTTAGATAAGCTTCAATGTAAAATATGATTAGATAATTTGCTCTTTTAGCATGCATATTGTGATACATCCATACTCTTTCTGTTATGCTTCTCCCAGATCAATAAATTGGCTGCTGTCAGAATCAATGGGATGGTTGAAAGGCTACAGCTTTCGCAGCAAATGAGGGAGAGCGTGTATTGTCTCTTTCAGCGAGTACTTGGTCAACGTACTTCTCTTTTCTTCAATCGACATATCGACCAGATAATTCTTTGTTGCTTCTACGGAATGGCTAAGGTTCGTTAAGAAACGTTACAAGGTTTTACTCAATGCTTTCCTGTTTATGTTGTCCTTTTCTCACTTTCCAGCTATCTATGAACCATTTGCAGATATCCCAAATGAGCCTGACTTTTAGGGAAATAATATACAACTACCGGAAGCAACCTCAGTGCAAACCACAAGTTTTCCGCAGCGTTTTTGTTGATTCCCTACAAGGACGCCGACCTGGGGTATATACACATATCTTAAGACTAAACATATGTCTTTCTATGCTGTGGAAGAGGACTAAACTTGTTTAGGTTTCTACTGTTTCACAGAGAGTAGGACCAGATCACGTCGATATAATCACGTTTTACAACGAAGTATTTATTCCCACAGTAAAGCCATTGCTGGTGGAGCTCGGTCCTGTACGGACACCTACAAAAGACAACCGAATGGCAGAGGCCACCAACAAGCTTGAGGGTACTTAAATAATGCTTGATGTGATTGTGATGTTAAGCTTATTGGACAACTCAGGGATTTTTATGGATTTTTCCAGGTCCATGTCCATGTCCTGGTTCCCCGAAAGTATCTGCTTTTCCAAATGTCCCGGACATGTCCCCGAAGAAAGTGTCGGCAACTCATAATGTCTATGTTTCTCCTCTTCGCACATCAAAGGTACATTATCTTGGTTTTATCATTGACATTTAGGATGGATTTTTTGGATTCGGGTATCGGACCCATACCCACCCCTTACATTAGAGCCGTGAGGCAACATTTGTCCTCATTCAACAATCGTTTTTTTAAAAAAAAAACGGGGGGAATGCAGATGGATGCACTGATATCACACAGCTCGAAAAGCTACTACGCGTGTGTAGGGGAGAGCACTCACGCCTTCCAGAGCCCTTCAAAGGACCTCTCCGCAATCAACAGCCGCTTGAACAAGTAACCATTATTATTATCATCTCTTTTGTTGTCTTGTCTTAATCCCAAAGAATAATATACATATATGTATAAACACACTTCAATTTCTTGTGGTTGTAGCAGTAATAATAAGCCGAAGAGATCGCTGACGTTTGAAGTGGACGCTGGTTTGGTGAGCGATTCCATGGTTGCTACCACTCTCCTCCACGTCCGCAACGGTACCACCTCTTCTTCCTCTTGTTTGCCCCTCCCTAAGACAGAGCATCCTGACTCTTGATCCATTTCTCTCTCTCCTTTCAAAAAAAAAAAAAAGAATCTCCTCTTCTTCTCTTCTTGCTCCCTTTTTTTTTTTTTTTTGTAAAGCCTTTTGTGTTTGTTTCCCTTCTTTGGGGGGATTAGGGTAATTTATGGTATGTGCGGTGGTGGGTGTCTTGTTCATTGTAGCCTCCATTTTACCCTGTTTTTTTTTTTTTTCATGTCATGCATCTTGGAGGAACTCTAAGTCAGGAAATCTAACATGCCTAATAATGAAAGCCTCCCACCCATTGTTGAAAGGTTTATTTAATTTGAAATGAAAAACCTAATGAAACTGATATTTAAATCGAATTCTTTATATATAAAAAATTGTTTGGATTATTTACAGTTGTAAAATTACCTTTTAAAGAACTGACGTGCAGATTTTATAAAATCGAAATGATAAGTAGGAAATTAATGAATTGGGATTATAATCAAAATCCCAAATGCTTCCCATTTTTTCCCGGTGGAAGATAAAAGGGTATTAGATCACTTGTCAATGTTGGAAAGGAGATCCGAGTGACTCAGTGACCTGGAAAAAGATGGATATCCAACGATTCTGAGTTTTGGAGATCCGAGTTGACTCGGGGCAATGATGTATTATGTTTTCTTAATTACATAGTTACATAAGAAAAAAAAAACAAGACGGAAGCTTTATCGTCGCAAGTTCTTGGCATTTGAAAACACCATTTCATATGTTTAAAACTTCCATCCCGTAATTATCTCCTATATATATGTATATATATATTACGTACAGGATAGAAAATATACATTTTCTAATTCACGAGAAATCATTGTCTTTTGTAACTTTTGATAATATTTGTTTTTTTTTTTAATTTAATACATCACTTGTTCATTTCATTCATAACAAAAAGGTTCAAATTTTGATTAAAATCAAACCAAATCAAATAATTTCTAAACATATCTCAACTTAGTACAATCTAAACATATTTGACATAATATAATCTACAAAATAATTCACACAAATCTTTTACAAAAAAAATTAACTTAACCAAATAAAATCAAAATTTAAAGATACATAATTGTTGTAGAAAATAAATATATTTTTATTGAAATAAAGTTTAGATTACATATGAATAAAGGTTGTTTTGAGCTAAATTCAATATAATATTTATATTTAAAAAAGTGTATTTATTTGGAAAATTTGATAAGTTGCATATTTTTATACAATTTATCCACTAAATTCTGACAAATTTGTGTATTTCCATGAAATTTAGCACTAAATTTATAAGTGAACATTAGCCTATTGCACGAAGAGTTGGACCTTCAGAGCAAAAATTCTCCTCTTCCATCGGATAGGGTTTCCGCCTCCATTGTCATCGCTGTCAATCCTAGCTCCGGTGAGTGTCTCCTTCTTCTTCTTCGAATAGGTTACTGTTGTCGGAAGGGATTTTTTTTTCCCACGAACCCTAAACTTTTGATAATGCGGATACGGAGACGAGTAGAATTTGTCGAAATCCAAGTACAAATCCTACATCCCCATGTGCTTTCTGGGTTATGGTACTGAATCCTACATTGTTACACTGTTCGAAGTGATTTTGGATTCTAGAACGTACCCTTGTAGTTTCTAGATTTATATCTTTGAAGAGCAGAACATAAATTCCGAGAAACAATTTTACTATCTCTGGTTCTTATTCAGAATTTGATAACGTCGATAGGAATTCAATTCTTGAATTGCGAATCTCTTGATGTTTTATATGAATGCAAATATCATTTTGTCTGCATGTCTAAATTTGCAGAGCTTGGCCAAAAAAACGTGTAATGTGGATATTATCATGTATACATATATATATATATATATATGTGAGTATCTGCATTAGCATTTTGTTTATATGCATGATGGTGTAGCAATTAGTGTGTGTTTTATGAGTCCAAATCTAATGTCACCCACAAATGTCTCGTTGTGAAATTCAAGAAAAATAGAAGCACTGGGATGGGGAAAGACGAAGAGGAAATGAGGGGAGAGATTGAAGAACGTCTGGTCAATGAAGAGTATAAGATCTGGAAGAAGAACACTCCCTTCCTCTATGATCTTGTCATTACCCATGCTCTTGAATGGCCGTCCCTTACAGTTGAATGGCTTCCTGACCGTGAGGAGCCTCCTGACAAGGACTTCTCGGTCCAGAAGATGATTCTCGGTACTCACACCTCTGAGAATGAACCCAATTATTTGATGCTTGCCCAGGTCCAGCTTCCCCTTGACGACACCGAGAGCGAAGCCCGCCAATACGATGATGAACATTCCGAGTTTGGTGGCTTTGGCTGTACCACCGGCAAGGTCCTGCTCATTCTCTGGCTCATATCTTCTACCTTGAGGTTTGTTCTTCAGTTTCTGAGAAATTAAAAGTCGAATACTTGCGCAGGTGCAAATTATTCAGCAAATTAATCACGAAGGTGAAGTCAATCGTGCTCGTTACATGCCCCAGAATCCTTTTATCATCGCCACCAAGACAGTGAATGCCGAAGTCTATGTTTTTGACTATAGCAAACACCCATCTAAGCCTCCTTTGGATGGAGCCTGCAATCCAGATTTGAGACTGAGGGGTCACAGCTCTGAGGGCTATGGCCTGTCCTGGAGTAAGTTCAAGCAAGGACACTTGCTCAGCGGCTCTGATGACACTCAAATTTGTGTGTGGGATATTAATGCTACTCCCAAAAACAAGGCTCTTGATGCTCTTCAGATATTTAAGGTACACTTGGATCTTCCCTTATAGACGCTACAGTTATCTTTCTTTGTGTTTTTTGGTGGGCTGCAGCCACTAACTCATCCAGGCTCATGTTTTGCAAATTTACATAGGGATATCTTCAGGGATGTCATAATTCATGCAATTAATGGATGATATACAGCTTGATGAGTAGAAACTATTGTAGTTTCTCTAACTTTTGACAACTGATGACCATTTGCGTGATTTAGGCTCATGAAGGTGTTGTTGAAGATGTTGCATGGCATCTCAGACATGAGTACTTATTTGGATCCGTCGGAGATGATCAATACCTTCTTATATGGGATTTGCGGGCTCCATCTCCGAGTAAGCCTGTGCAATCAGTGGTGGCTCACTCAATGGAGGTGCGTGCTGTGTTGAATAAATTGGATTTAACCCAGATTGAACTTTCTGGCATGTCCTTTGCGTTGTATTCTAATTGACAGACCCAGTAATTTGCTGTTTTGCATTAACATTCCTTCTTTTGTTTAAATATGGAAAAGCCATGGTTTCACATCAGTGATTATGTTTTCGTTTCTACTGACTTAGGTTAACTGCTTAGCCTTCAATCCTTTTAATGAATGGGTTGTGGCAACCGGGTCAACTGACAAGACTGTTAAATTATTCGACCTACGAAAGCTCGGCAATGCTCTTCACACATTTGATAGTCACAAGTGAGAACCTTATACCATTAGAGACTTGATTTTAGTTCAAGTAATCGATTTCTTCTTCGTAATCTAAATTTTTCCTTTGATGCCCAGAGAGGAGGTCTTCCAAGTCGGATGGAACCCAAAGAACGAGACCATCTTAGCCTCGTGTTGCCTTGGTAGAAGGCTAATGGTTTGGGACCTCAGCAGGTTTTGGTTACTAAAATATAAACAGACTTGATACAATAATGACTCATGTCGGTTTTATTTGTTAGATGGATGAGAGACTCTCGGTATACTTAGTTCGAGGTGTGCAAATGCAGGATTGACGAGGAGCAGACACCAGAAGATGCGGAAGACGGTCCGCCAGAGCTGCTGTTTATTCACGGTGGCCATACGAGCAAAATCTCGGATTTCTCGTGGAACCCTTGTGAGGATTGGGTTATTGCAAGTGTAGCAGAGGACAACATCCTCCAAATATGGCAGATGGCTGAGAATATTTATCATGATGAAGACGATGCCCCCGGAGAAGACCCTACTAAAGGTTTATTATCTTAAAAGCATCCCCTGCAACCAAAATCCATATTACTTATAGATGAAACACTCTCCAGTCCGCCACTGACACCATTTATTTAAATGCTTTATTGCAGCAACCTGAACTGAAGAGATCAGTTAACAATGACTTAAGAGACGGAACTGGTTCGTAATTTCTCTGACTTCACTGCAAAATCTCTTCTGTCTTCTTAGTGTAAATCCTTAACCCATGCCAAACTTTTTTTTTTTAAAGTATTTGTAGCTTGGGAGTGGTGCTTGAGTAGGTTTAGTAGTGCACATTTCCTTACCCTTGTTCTTTGAACTTAGAAACTCTTATGTTTTGGTGTTTCCACATTTGTTGTTGTCGTCTTGCACTTGCTAATTGCTATGTTAATTCTAGTATTTATTTATATAAAAATAAATAAAAAATAGGGTTTCCAAAGGGTCTTATAGAATGTTTTGGAGTTGGTCATTGACTTAGGACACTATTATTCTCCAAAATAACTCTTGGATATCCAAATATTATAGAATGCCATGATTTTGTTGTTCGTCCGGTTCTTTTTCCCATCTACACATTTTTTTTTTTCAAACTCACTGTAGAGACTTGTAAAAGATTCTAGGGTTTACAAAAAAAAATCTCTATCAAGAATCTTTTCCCTTAAGACAACAGAAGGGAATTTTATTTTTCTTTTCTATTTATCGGCCGAAATTTTGATGTTCATATGCAACATTTATAATCTTCCGGTGCCTGGATGAGATATAACAACATAGTACCAAAAAGGGTGTCCTTAAACAAAAAGCCCTTAGAATCAATTCCAGATTAATTTTCCCCTATAGCGTGCTGATTCTGAATTATCCTTCTCTATACTCCTTATGCCTCATGCCATGCATGCATGCATGGATAACTAAAAATTACAGTGCACCAACAACACTACTACTTCTACTTCCTTGAACAATGAAGAATTGAAATCTGAATGCTAAGTACATGAATGATGCGGAGTTAAAAAAAAAAAAAAAGAAGAAAAAGACCAGAGAGATGCCAAAACAGGAAGCCTCCCCTTCATCAGGTCAGATTATTTATGATAACATGAGGGGGGGAAAACAGAGCATTGTCTCAGAGGAAGTTAAAGACAGTCATCCTACCTACACATTCCTCAGTTACCCCTTCCGACATCTTACATTCTTGTTTCTTTCCTGCCAAAACCCTATCAACTTTCCCTTCCCCACTGAACCCTTTCAACTCTCATCTCCACATACCAATAAAGTTAGATAGTAGCAAAGACGACAGACTCTAGGGCAAAATCAGGCAGATGCCCACTCGAAGTAATGGCACCGAGCACCTCTGGTTGCAGTCCAGTTTCCACAGCCAAAGAAAACACTCCCTTGCTTCGGCCCGGGTTTCCTCACTGTTCCTCTGCTGCTCCCTACCCCGCAGTAGCAGAAAGGATGGGACTGGAGGAAAAGGGGCTGGACTACCTTCGGCTTAGGGTTGTAGTAAACAGGAGGAGGCACATTCTCGGGTAAATCATTGAACCCGAGTGTGACTTCAGCAGTGTGCCACATCAGCGAGTTTGTGATGGAGAATTTGAAACCACGGCTCATGAGGAGGGAAAGCAAACGAGCGGTGTTTTTGGCATCATCCAAGCCGGAATGAGCACGTCCCTGCCAGACTAAGCCAGCCATCTCAACTGCTTCCCTAAGGTTGCAGTTCACACCACCAAACACCTCACGGAATGGAACTTTCAAGTTGATCCATCTAAAGAAAATGAGATATCAATCAAGAATATCAAGGGCTGAGAGAAATCAGCAAAGCAACTAAAGGGCGTCGCATATCCCGATGCAGGATTTCAAAGCAGCAGTTTGCTAAACAGTGTTTTCTGTTACCTGTTAAAGTAGGGTGGCTTTCTTATTTTCTTGAATCGACATTCTGACTCCAGCATCACCCGACAATCCCAGTTCGACCATGTTACCACCACGAAATTGGCGTTCTTTATTCCTTTCTTCTCAAGCCACTTGTCATGTCGGAGAAGAGCCTCACTCAAGGTGACACCTCTATCAACCTGAAAACACAGAAGAGGCACTCAAACTACATTCTCAATCAAATAAGAGCCAAAGACATCATCCGATCATCCTTTTCTTTTCCCCAAACAATTATCTCCAGTTTTCTTCACCGCTATGCCTCAGAAAATGACAAAACACTGCTATCACATGCTAATAGATTGGCCAAAGGAAACAGTATCCTAGGTTATAGCTTCTACCAAAACCCTGATGTGTCTCGGTTTACTTTGGCAAAAAAATACATTTTATAACCCAAATATATGAACCATGAGTTCCAGGGTCGAGAAAACAGATAAAAGTAGAGACTTAGAGAGAGCAAAATTTGTTGACAAAAAAAGATCATTAACCATAAAAAACCGATATCTGCATTTCTTTCTAAGCCGAGCTCCTAGAATTAGGTGACTAACCTGAACCTGCTGAATTCCTGTTAAATCCTTGCAGAAGTTGCTCAGAAGTTGATTGCAAGTAGGCCTGACATATGTTTGGAAACATGCTTCTAACTGACCAGTCACACTGTTCACGATCACAGATGGAAACTCTATTATCTCTTGCGGGTGAGGGTTTCTTTCCTTGTCACACGTAGCCTCAAAATCTATCACCACAAAGTACTGAAAGTCTTGATATTGGATATTGTAGGGGTGACCTTGAGCGCACACATTGTACGGCACATACTGAAGTTGCGGTTCTATTGTGACAGGAAAGCACTGGTTCCCATAGGCATCCATCTGGTACTGTGGCATCTTAGGAGGTTCGGGATAGAAGGATGACCAGCTACCAGAATCATGCACAAGGGTTGGTTTACTGTAAAATTTATTTGCATGTTCCAAAAACCCATTGCTTATCTGCTGAGCACGGTCTACCACTTCACCAGGGTGAGAACAGAATTCATCTTTGAGACCAGAGGCAACTGTTGCCACATTCATGTTAGATTGCACATTCTGATGAAATCCATGGGTCTGGAAGCATTTAAAGGATGCCTCCGAGCTCCTTTGCAAAGTTACTGCAGTTAAAGTGATACCACAAAAGGAACTTACCATAAATTAACACAGTCAATATCGTCACAAAAATTTTGGCCATAAGTATCAGAAAAATTCTTTCAGGATGGTTAATGGTAGTCGCTTCCGATAACTCAGCACATTGACACTTCCTCAAATGCATCACTGTCAACAATGCTCAAATGTCTCTACTTTTTGTTGCACCAACGAAAAATACGAAGAACTAACAACACAGATACTGACTCAATAGACAAAAGGGCAGAGAACAAAATAATTCAAACTTCTACAGTCCGCTCTTCAACCTAACATACCCCCTAATGTCTCTGAAGGTCTTAGATGAGTCCAAACCGTGTAAATTTAGAGCCTTTATACAGATATTCCATAGAAATCTCTCCCATAATTGAACCTGTTTTGACTCTCACCACATACAAATTCAAGAGCCCTACAGACACCTGGAGAGCTAATTAACCTCCAACACCAACCACAGAGCCAACAGAACCAAATCAATAGTAACACCGGATTGCAACACTTGATTGATTACACGACAATAACCAAATAAGCCCATCAAAGAAGACAAGACATAAACAGCCCTAACCCAAAATCAAATCAATCTTTCCCCAGAAGCGGAGAAACCGATCCAGGTGGAATCAGAATACCCAGATTAAATTTCAAGAGGAATAAGAAAAAAGGCACAAATTTGAGGAAAATGGGCTCACCTTTGTTTTCAAGTGCGGCCATTGGGACCTTGATTGTACCTAAGATCCGCCAACAAGTACATGAGATCGGCTCCTCTTGAACCAACCCCTATTAAGATCAAACACCCAAAAATAAAGCAAAACCGAACATGAATTCGAGGCGGCTCGAGTACGCACTAGAAAAAAACACGAAAAGAAGAACAAACCCAGAATCCGAAATCAAATATCAACGCGAAAAATCCAGGAAAATCAGACAAAACATACCCTCTCACACACACAGAGAGCAATAGAGAGGGAGAGATTACCTGGTGCGAATTCCAGAGACCGCACAGGGAGACGGGAAAGAGAAGAGAGAGAAGCGCAAGTTATTCGCCTAGAGGTAGAGACTAGAGAAAACCGAAACTCAGATCATTAATTACTTATTTAAACAAGTGATTAAGAGTTAATTACCATAAGATCTACTTATAATAATAGATTATACGGAAATCAATCAATTACCAAATATGATTAATGCGAACCGAGAGAAAATAAATTATGGGTGGGTCCATACAATGGCAGGTTTCAGGAAGTGCATAGGGCTGTTTTAACGGCGTATAGGATGAGGCCACGTGTCTGACATGCCGTGAAGATATTTTTGTTGTTTCTTCCTATACCTTTTTTTTTGTTTTCTTATTATTCTCCATCTAATAATATAATTCAGGCAGATATTCCACGTAGTTTGGGATTTTTAGATTTAGGGATTATGGATTTTATAAATAAAAAAAAAGTTTTTTTTATAAAATCGGGGATAAAGTTTTAAAACGCTAGATGAAGAAAAAAAAGACCATTAAAATAAAGAATTTAATTTTATTTTTCAACCAAATATTTTGAAAGTTCAGGATTATTGGATTTTAAATTTTAATTACTTAATGGATCGTGGGAGACTTTGATTGGGCAAACGGAGATGATGAATGACGGTGAGCATGTTGTTAAGATTCTCAGAATTAAAATGTTGATGAGATTTGTGATTGGAACTACATGTACAATCTTTAACAAGATATTAAGGTTCAGTAGCCGGTGGGTGTTTGTATCAAACATTGTCAAAACAATCAACGGTTCAGATGATCTTGATTTGATCTGACGGTTCGTATTAGTTTTAGAGATCGACGATTCTTATGCGCTTGAAAGTTTCATCTTACGGTTATTATTCTTTGTCAATATCGGACGGTTCTAATCGACTGTATCCCATGCGGTGCTGAATCAGATCCCCTCGAATCGATCGGACGGATGTTATTGTCTCTCTATATCGACGGTTGAGATTCATAAATCGGACGGTTATGATTAATTCAGCGGAGGCAGTTCAAAACGACATCGTTTTAACCTCCGAAAAGCTAAAACATCAGAAGTTTCGTCTGGGACTCTCTCCGCGTCTCTGATAGCTTCATAGATTGCTTTTTCCTGAGCAGCTGATTTTCCGATTCTCCGATCGAAGGCGAAGAACCCAAAATGGCGGCGGCGTTCACGTTGAGGGGGACCCACGTCCCCCCGAACTCGGCGAATCTGGCGGAGGCTCGCCGCCGTGTGTTCGATTTCTTCAGAGCTGCTTGCAGATCCATCCCTTCCGTCATGGAAATCTACAATCTTCAAGATGTCGTCGTGCCTTCACAGCTCCGCTCCGCCATCGCCGCGCAGATTCGGAGGAACGCCCACATCACGAACCCTAAGGTATTTTCGTTTCTGCAATCTTGCTCTCGCATTGTTCCCGCTTCGGAAGTTTTCATTCCTGATGGCGATTTCGAGGGATTTGTTTCTTGTTACGTATAGTCTTGGTGACGTGATTTTGTGTAGTATTTTGTTGATTTAAATTCTGATGGGAGAAGTTTGCGGTCGCCAGTGATCTATGTTTGTTATTTTGATTGTTTCTCTTTAGGGTTTTATTTTTTCTGCGTATGAACTTCTCAGAATATCGGTTCTACCGTCAGTTGGACTTTTGATTCTGGTTTCTTTGCAAATTAGCTCGAAAGTTTAGAGCTTTCCTTCCTTGTCACCGCTTGGACTTTGTGTCAGCAGCATATGAACACTGAGAAAGGGGATTGATCATCTTTGATATGATAAAAATTATCATGCCTCCTGGATTTGTGGTAGCTGGAGATTTAGAAGCCATAAGAGAAAGGTGGAAGCTTTACTGCTTAGGTGTTACTCAAGCTGCTACCTTTGTGTTTCTTATTGCTTGTGGCGCTGAGAAATCCACCTTTGTGTATCGGTTTTCTTTTTGTGGGCTTGCTCCTAGCCGTCTTGTTGATGGAAGAAAGTACTAGAAAAAAAGAAAACACATTGAGATACAGTCACCATTAAATATGTAACAATTTGATCGGTTCTTATCTCGTATATTACCTTCTCACAGCGAACGTAGTTAGGGTTCGATACATTGTTGGTGATATCAGGAGATACTTGACACATATCTTTGGGCTTGTATGACAATGTTTGCCTTCTCTATATCATCAACCCTGGCTTGACAATATGTTCGGTATCTGCTGAGAAAATATCTTCTCTACTTTAATACAATGCAGTAATCTTGAGCTTTCTCTCTCTGTAAAAATCTTGTGCTGCTGTCTACAGGTTATCGATATGCTTCTGTTCAAGGGAATGGAAGAACTGACGAATGTTGTCGACCACTCAAAGCAGCGTCACCACATTATCGGGCAGTACGTGGTGGGTAGTGAAGGGCTTGTGCAGGATTCTGGGAGCAAGGATCAGGGCATGTCCGATTTTCTCAAGAATTTCTACACCAGCAACTACTTTTGAACTGGTGAGATGTTCTCTTCAAGTTTGATATTAAGTTCCTCATAAGTTGTTACTCTACAGTTGTGCTATGGACTTGGGGAATGTACTTCCCTCAGTAAAATAATGGACATAGACCTCATTTTGTACTCATTCTCTCCCTGTTAAAACATTCATTTTTCTCTCCCGACAATTTTATAATTTGGCCCTTTGTCTTGTAATGACTTGTTTTTGCAACAAAGTGTTAGATCTCTGGCTTGGGGTATATAGTGGCTGACAATGCATTTGTGCAAAACCGAGTTCCCCTTATCTGTGAGTGCTGCCTTTCAAGAACAAGTTTCAGAAATCAGAAATAACGCAGTGCTGATGACTAAACATGACAGGATACATATGATCACAAATCAATAGAGGCTCGCGCAGAGTTCAACATTGAAGGCTACTTACATAACCTTTATACTAGAATTCTGCTCACATTGATTTGCTACCACTAGAACCAATAACTCACCACGGATTCAGGGTTTAGCTTGAAAAAGAATTTCGCCAAGGGAAAAATGAAATCTTTCGGCCGAAACAAGAAGCAGGGACAAAACCCGGAGCTCCAATCTCCGACACGTCGTCTTGTGTGGAATTCAACCAGTTCCCGAGACCAGGGAAAACAGAAAGGGTTACCGCTTTCTCTTCTGTTGATTCAAAGTCTTCTCCTTTTTCCTTTTCCTTTTCCTTGTTGAGATTTTTTTTTTTTTGGGGGGGGGGGGGG